TCTTCAAGCTACTGCCTCATAATACTTTTGATAGAGTAAGTGAGTTCAGCTTCATGCTGCTTTGAACAGTATTCCAGTTATATCACAGCATGTCAGCGTTATGTGGGAGGGAAGCCAGAAGTGATGTAGGTCTCAGATGCTTACCACTTTTGGGAAACCCACGAGCACGAGTACGGTGCTGACAAACCAAGAACCTGGATTTTAACCCAAGATCATAGGTTTCTAGCATGCCCATGAGGCAACTCTGCACAGTGAATTGGACAGCATCTTAGACAACCGGGTTTAAAACTGGTTTGAAATGTGTTCCAGTTATATCACGTCATGTCAGCTAAATGTGGGAGGAAAGCCCGAAGTGATGCAGGTCTCAGACATATACCACTTTGGTGAAACCCACGAGCACTGGTATGGTACTGACGACCTTGAAACAGAATCCGGGATTCAAACCCCATTCTCAATCTGAAACCTACGGCACATGTAGGTATATTGAAAAGCAGGGATACTGCTGACAACACAATGAAAATATCTGACAAAGTGGTTACAGAATCTCACATTCCTATCTATATCACAGAGATACAGACCCCAAGTTGAGGCCAAAGGAACAGCTAGGACAATTGGGCTCTTACACTGGCATTTAAAAAAGAAAGTGGCAATCACTAGTATCATGATTGCAAGTTTGGTATCTTTTGAACGCACGAATGATTAAAATAGTGAAATTGTTTGCCATTTTTTTCCACTTTCAAACATCCAGATACAAAACTTCCGATTCCTTTGATTGCATTTTATCACACAGCACTTAAAAATGTTAGACTAAAATAATTGAGTCTACATGTGTCAATACCCATTGTCTAAATTATTGCCGATAATCTTTTCACAAAATTTGCAATATAATTCAAGTGTTTGTATGGACAGAATTTGATTCAAAATATGACTCCGCCAAATTGCCATCTCGAGTAATAGCAAAGGTTGGACCTGTGCCAGACCAGTCCCTCGGAGTGATCCTTAACTTCTTTTGAGTAGCATATGTAATCAGCTGCCAGGGGTGTGGCTGAGGCAGGGTTCAAGTATAGGCAACTTGTGATGCTAATGGGTTCTCATGGAGTACACTTGTACAGTAAAGAAATTACAGTTGATTTAAAGAGGGTTATTTTCTGTGACTTTTCTACAGAAACCATGGTAACGGAAATATCACACATAAAATGTATCGGCATTAATACTGATTGCACTCATGCACTACGATATCATCTACGGTAACTTCTAAACTACAATTGAGTGAGTGAGTGAGTTGGGTTTAACGCCGCTTTTAACAGTATTCCAGTTATATCACAGCGTGTCAGCTTAATGTGGGAGGAAAGCCCAAAGTGATGCAGGTCTCAGACATTTACCACTTTGGTGAAATCCACGAGCATGGGTATGGTGCTGACAAACCTAGAAACATAATCAGGGTGAACTTGGATTCGAACCCCCAATCATAGGTTTCTGGCATGCCCAAGGGACGCAACTTTGCCCACCCTTGCACCCTCTCAACTAAAACTTGCCTGGGACTAGCTTTCACCAGCGATTTATTTATGGTCTCTGCTTTCACACAATCATTTACTACCAACTCTCCCTCATTATTTGATTTGATGAAGACTTCCATATCACATATATTTGAAAGAAATCTTTGAACAATCATTTGAAGAAGATATTTACAGAACAAAGGTTCAAGCTTCATGTCAGACAAGCTATTATTGTCTCTGTTTACAAAAACTAAAATCAAAACATTCCTTTCGTAAAATCGGCCAAAATGCACCGCATAAAGTATTAACACACATATAAGAAAATGTACACGGGAATGTTATCTGTGGCCAACATAAACATGACACGTCACAGTCTCCACCACTAAGCATGCCTCATGAGACACCTCCACAGGGTTGGTTTGTTGTTTTACGCCGCACTCAGCAATATTCCACCTATATGACAGCGGTCTGTAAATAATCGAGTCTGGACCAGACAATCCAGTGATTGACATCATGAGCATCGATCCACGCAATTGGGATTGATGACATGCTTCAACCAAGTCAGCGAGTCTGACCACCCGATCCCGTTAGTCGCCTCTTACGACAAGCATAGTCGCCTTTTATGACAAGCATGGGTTGCTGAAGATCTATTCTACCCCGGATCTTCACGGGTCACCTCCATAGGTAGAAGTCCATAGTGGAACTGATTTCATTGTAAAAATAACACAACAAAACACACCGCTGGCCACTAAAACACAATATGATAGTGAGGGAAAAAGTTGGGTTTAACACCTCTTTGAACAGTCTTTCTAACTACATCCTGGTGTGGTGGGCGGTCGGGTGGCCTAGTGGTTAAAGCGTTCGCTCGTCACGCCGAAGACGCGGGTTCGATTCCCGACATGGGTACAATGTGTGAAGCCCATTTCTGGTGTCCCCCGCCGTGATGTTGCTGGAATATTGCTAAAAGCAGCTTAAAATCATACTCACTCACTCACTCACATCCTGGTGTGTCAGCTTGATGTGACTGACTGAGTATGGTATACGCCGTTTTTACCAATATTCCAGCAATATCATGGCGGAGTACACCAGAAATGGGCTTCGCACATTGTACCCATGTCAGGAATTGAACCTGGGTCTTCGGCGTGACAAGCGGACGCTTTAACCACTAGGCTACCCGACCGCCCCCAGCTTGATGTGGGAGGAAACTTCGATTTGATGCAGGTCAAGACGGTTACCTCTTTGATGAAACCCACACAAACCTGTAATCGGCATGAACGGAGATTAGATCCTAAGTTCATAGATCATAGGTTTCTGGTGTGTCAAAGGGACGCAACTCTGCACAGTGAAACGCGGTGCCTTAGAAGACCCATGAATTTGCCCCATTCTCTGTCATGAGTGAGTGAGTGAGTGAGTTGGGTTTAACGCCGCTTTTAACAGTATTCCAGTTATATCACGGCGTGTCAGCTTACTGTGGGAGGACAGCACGAAGTGATGCAGGTCTCAGATGTTTACCACTTCGGTGAAACCCACGAGCACGGGTATGGTGCTGACAAACCTAGAAACATAATTGGGGCGAACCCACAATCATAGGTTTCTGGCGTGCCCAAGGGACGCAACTCTGCACAGCGAATCGCGGCACCTTAGACGACTGGGCCACCCATGCCCCCCTCTCTGTCATGATGAGTTGGAGATGCATTAGAGAGGTGACACAATACAAACATTATTATTGCAAGTACAAGTTTGACCTGTTCCAAAGTCTTACTGGTATTCTAATTTCTAGTTACACAATATTACAGTCAGTGTTTCAAATAAGTTTTAAGCTGTAAGAACCAGCCAGGTGAGCAAGATAGGATAGGCAACATCGTTCGACACTCTTGTCATTCAGTAATTGTGATCATAATAGAAATTTGGAAATTCAGAAAGTTTGTAAATGTGAATTAAAGTACCATCGTAATTGTTGTTTGTAATTGTTGCTTTAAACCAAAATAAAACTTTTGTAAATGATTTAGTGTTCTTTGCCTGCCTATTGCACTGGTAGTGTTTCTGCTGACCATAGCGGCGGTCGGGTAGCCTAGTGGTTAAAGCGTTTGCTCATCACGCCGAAGACCCGGGTTCGATTCCCGACATGGGTACAATGTGTGAAGCCCATTTGTGGTGTCCCCCGCTGTGATATTGCTGGAATATTGCTAAAAGCAGCGTAAAACCATACTCACTCACTCACTCACTCACTCTGCTGACCATAATCATGAATTGCCTGTCAATGAATACAACTTTCTAAATCTATGGTTAAACGTAAAACGCTAAACGTACAGTAAAATGACTGTATAGACTGTAATAACTTTAACTCGTTATTCTAGGTTAGAGTTAACAACTTAGGTGAAAACCACACTTAATGTAATGAGTGAGTGAGTAAGGTCTTACGCTGCTTTTAGCAATATTCCAGCAATATCACGGCGGGGGACACCAGAAATCGGCTTCACACATTGTACCCATCCGGGAATCGAACCCGGGTCTTGGGCGTGACGAGCAAACGCTGTAACCACTAGGCTACCCGACTCCCCCCACACTCAATATGAAGAATATTCTGATGTTTCACTAAGTCAGAAGTAAAAGGTTATGTTCATAACACTGGCAGATCCTGTAGAAGCATGCAATGGCTGTGCTCCTCAAGAAAGATCTGGCATTCTGTTACATATATCATTTTGCCTACTTTATCTTGACCCACTGACCAAGGCCGTGTTCTACAAAGCAATCATAGCGCTATGACTGTCAAGAGTACGTGAAAGTATAGGAGTTCTGATCATCTTAGCGCTATGACTGTGGTAAGTCTATGTGAAAGTATAGGAGTTCCGATCATCTTAGCGCTATGACTATCGTAATTCTGCGTGAAAGTATAGGAGTTACGATCATCTTAGCGCTATGACTGTTGTAAGTCTATATGAAAGTATGGGACTTAGATTCATTTGTGGACCAGGGCCTTGGAAAATCCAAAAGACAAGCAAGGACATTCAATCAACACTAACTTATTGCTTTGTAAACAAAAAGCTATTCCTCAAACGATTCAGTTCTAATTATCTTCTTAATTATTCCATTACTTTGTCCCTTTGTCAGTAAAATACATAACCCTTGTTGAGGTATATGCAATAAGTTACTAATTATCATCATCTGAAATTTCAGCTTTTTTAATGATATTCACTGCAGACTTGGTGCTAAATATCGTCCTCTGAGAACGTCTGGATGAATCACTTATGTGAGCTGCTAATCCACGACTAGACTGATTTCAGGGGATGATGATGTTGAGCTTGGTAGGTGTGACGTGACTTCTTGTCATCGAAGTCTACTCTGTCACAAGATCAAAATTGAGCAGCGGATGGTCAGAGCAGATGACGAGCTTGAGGAAGGAGTTGGGTTCTATCCCCGTGGCAGACAAACACTTCCCACTACCGGGGTTGTACAGCTGGGACTTCCCTGACTGAAAGGTAGAGAGACGTATGAGTGAGTGAGTGAGTTGGGTTCTATCCCCGTGGCAGACAAACACTTCTCACTACCGGGGTTGTACAGCTGGGACTTCCCTGACTGAAAGGTAGAGATGTGTGAGTGAGTGAGTGAGTGAGTGAGTGAGTGAGTGAGTGAGTGAGTTGGGTTCTATCCCCGTGGCAGACAAACACTTCCCACTACTGGGGTTGTACAGCTTGGACTTCCCTGACTGAAAGGTAGAGACGTATGAGTGAGTGAGTGAGTTGGGTTCTATCCCCGTGGCAGACAAACACTTCCCACTACCGGGGTTGTACAGCTGGGACTTCCCTGACTGAAAGGTAGAGACGTATGAGTGAGTGAGTGAGTGAGTTGGGTTCTATCCCCGTGGCAGACAAACACTTCCCACTACCGGGGTTGTACAGCTGGGACTTCCCTGACTGAAAGGTAGAGACGTATGAGTGAGTGAGTGAGTGAGTCGGGTTCTATCCCCGTGGCAGACAAACACTTCCCACTACCGGGGTTGTACAGCTGGGACTTCCCTGACTGAAAGGTAGAGAGACGTATGAGTGAGTGAGTTGGGTTCTATTCCCGTGGCAGACAAACACTTCCCACTACTGGGGTTGTACAGCTGGGACTTCCCTGACTGAAAGGTAGAGACGTATGAGTGAGTGAGTGAGAGAGTTGGGTTCTATCCCCTTTGCAGACAAACACTTCCCACTACCGGGGTTGTACAGCTGGGACTTCCCTGACTGAAAGGTAGAGACGTATGAGTGAGTGAGTGAGTTGGGTTCTATCCCCGTGGCAGACAAACACTTCCCACTACCGGGGTTGTACAGCTTGGACTTCCCTGACTGAAAGGTAGAGACGTATGAGTGAGTGAGTGAGTTGGGTTCCATCCCCGTGGCAGACAAACACTTCCCACTACTGGGGTTGTACAGCTTGGACTTCCCTGACTGAAAGGTAGAGACGTATGAGTGAGTGAGTGAGTTGGGTTCTATCCCCGTGGCAGACAAACACTTCCCACTACCGGGGTTGTACAGCTGGGACTTCCCTGACTGAAAGGTAGAGACGTATGAGTGAGTGAGCGAGTTGGGTTCTATCCCCGTGGCAGACAAACACTTCCCACTACCGGGGTTGTACAGCTGGGACTTCCCTGACTGAAAGGTAGAGACGTATGAGTGAGTGAGTGAGTGAGTTGGGTTCTATCCCCGTGGCAGACAAACACTTCCCACTACCGGGGTTGTACAGCTGGGACTTCCCTGACTGAAAGGTAGAGACGTATGAGTGAGTGAGTGAGTTGGGTTCTATCCCCGTGGCAGACAAACACTTCCCACTACCGGGGTTGTACAGCTGGGACTTCCCTGACTGAAAGTTAGAGATTTGTGAGTGAGTGAGTGAGTTGGGTTCTATCCCCGTGGCAGACAAACACTTCCCACTACCGGGGTTGTACAGCTGGGACTTCCCTGACTGAAAGGTAGAGAGACGTATGAGTGAGTGAGTGAGTGAGTTGGGTTCTATCCCCGTGGCAGACAAACACTTCCCACTACCGGGGTTGTACAGCTGGGACTTCCCTGACTGAAAGGTAGAGACGTATGAGTGAGTGAGTGAGTTGGGTTCTATCCCCGTGGCAGACAAACACTTCCCACTACTGGGGTTGTACAGCTGGGACTTCCCTGACTGAAAGGTAGAGACGTATGAGTGAGTGAGTGAGTGAGTTGGGTTCTATCCCCGTGGCAGACAAACACTTCCCACTACCGGGGTTGTACAGCTGGGACTTCCCTGACTGAAAAGTAGAGAGATGTATGAGTGAGTGAGTGAGTGAGTTGGGTTCTATCCCCGTGGCAGACAAACACTTCCCACTACCGGGGTTGTACAGCTGGGACTTCCCTGACTGAAAGGTAGAGAGACGTATGAGTGAGTGAGTGAGTTGGGTTCTATCCCATTAGGGGTCACATCAGAACAACCTTTCGTCCGACCAATCAGTGCGTCGCTTACCAGATTATGAAAGTGACAGTCGGAATGTGATTTCTAAACATGCAATCTCGAAAACATTAACATGGGGGTATTCCGAAAGATAGTTACGACTGAATCCTTACAATCTAGACCATCTATTAGCCATTCCAGAATGTTTTTTTTGTTCAGGTTTCAAATTTGTAATCAAGAATTTGTAAAAATATGTTTCGAAGCGTAGTCGCCAATTTAAAATTTGTGCCGTCAAGCACGAGAAAGCTGCCTTCTGATTGGTCATTCCATTGGTCGGTCAAAGTTGTTCACTCAAGGTCAGTCTGATGTGACCCGCAATGGGATGTCCTCAGATCTTTGTTTAGCGGTTTCGAGAACTAAGATCTGATTTTAATGAGATTGTCATCCAGTTCTGAATGAAAATGATAAAGGCCATCCATTATATTGTTGTGGATACGTCACAGACTCTGTTCTTGCCACACCCAAAAGGGAGTACCATCAAAGGAATAGTTGTGTTCGGTGTGGGCATTCTGTTCTTAAAATCAAAACTTCCAAATTGAGGTGGCAAATAAATGAAGCTAGAAAGCTCATGTTTTAGAAAGCTAACATCTGATTGTCTCATGAACCCACACATCCTTTTTTTAGACTGGGCAAAGTTTGCTCAGGGTTTTGTCCTCAAATCTTCACACTGAGGGGGATTGTGTCAGAGTAAAAGAGCTGAATTTAATGATAAGTACAGGGCAACATATCTTCTTTAGGTTGAGAGGCAAAGAACAGGGGGAAAGCAAATAGGAAAATTAAAATAGCGTTCATCTGATGCAGGAAAAACAAAGTAAAACTTCTCCCAGCTTCTGTGAAAGTCATGATTTTCTTAAACTGACACAGAGTCGCCTGTATTTAGAACAATCTTGTTCCCCATGTCATCCCCCACCTGCTTGCTCCACACCCATTGCTGAGAGGAGAAACCGCCACATTTCATAATCCGTCCATAGATGGCGCCACCATTCCCCTTGTCTTCAACATCCAGGCACAGCAAGTTAGCCAGACGGAAGTCCTTGTCCACCGTCTCAAACCAAACCTGTAACACGCAGAACTCAGCTGAGTTATACAACACTGGAGATGTCTCAGATCTATCCCATCATCTTTAACTGCATAAACCTCTCCATCAACCTCCATGACTAAAAGAAAACTAACAGAAGCAGTTCTCATTCATCACAAGCCATCAATCAACAGAGATCAAGGCTATTTCATTCCATCCGCCTACAATAAACTCATTCAGGAGATAAACATACTGTGTTTTTAATGTAGAGCTAGGTTACCTGTAGATTTAACCTCGCTAAATTGAATTTGGAACCGAACACACAGCGTGAGGTTTCAAATGTTCAATTGCGGCATGGGTTGAGTCCAGTGTTTTTAGTGGGTTATCGATCTGAATTACGGATTCACCGAAAAAATAGGGTGCTGTATATACTCAAGCAGTTTGTTTACACCGAATTACTTTACTCAAACATATGACATGCATTGAAAGCATATAAGCACGGCAGCTTGGTAAGCTAACATGAGGTGGGCATCCCTAAAGAAAACAAAGCAAGATTTGCAAGGCTTTTGCTCTACATTGCACATCACCATTATGACATCATATTGCTCTTTGTGACGCAAATGAATGACGTCACAGTCGTATATAGAAAAGCGCCAAAATTCCAAGCTCTCTATTGTCTCCAAAACGTAAATACACTCCGTTAGTAGATTTCTATCGTGCTTCCTGCATAAAATGTATTGCCACACATCCTTTGAATATTGTAGTAACTGCATCTGTGCATTTTGTAACCTGTAATTGTAGATATATTTATTTAAATATATGGTAGAATAAGCAATAATCACCCCATCTTTGAATTAGCTTCCTCCTCATGTGTTTCCTGTCTAGCATGTTGGTACAGTGCTATCCTTCTGTTGTTATCATCTGACCAACTCATGTTTATGTGTCTTATGTTTGCAAATTGTCAGTACTGTTAATCCTCCACCTACCACATTAATTCTGTACCATGTTCATTATTAGACTTGCTTGACAACGGTATAAGGATCTATACAAAATGTCGCTATTACAGTAAAATAAAGAAGTCTACTTTATCATGAACCACACAGTCACTGTTTGTTAGTTTATGTGTAGTCTGCTTTCTGTCATGTAAAACAGGATCATTATCATGGCAGGGTGAGACTTGAACACCAGCCCGCTAGTGTGTGGCTTGTACAAATTCCTGCGAACTAGTACCAATTTCCAAATTTCGCCATTGTTTTAACGTTACAAGGGCATTTTATCTTTACAGGGACTAGTAAAGCTTAAGTTCAAACCCTGTCATGGTATTCATCACCATCAGGTTTACAATTACTTCAACAATTTAAAGTTAGTCAGGTGAAAGCATGGTATATCACAGCTGCCTGTAAATGTCACACATTTAGCAAGGTCACACATTGTAGCTACTTGATTCTTATTTTGGTCTGCTCTAACAAGAACTGGGTCCTATTCTGCCATCATCATCATCATCATCATCATCATCATCCTAGTGAAGCTACCTACCTGATCTTTACTCTCTGCGGTGGACCTACACACAGCCAGGTGCAGGAGAGACTTCTTGTTGAATACTTCTTCCTCCGACTCCACACACAGACCCGAGGCCATGTGCTTCAACTGGGGGATAAATGTCAGATTTGTCACTCTCTTTCCCACAACCAATAAAACACACAGATCTGAGACCATGTGCTTCAACTGGGGGATAAATGTCAGATTTGTCACTCTCTTTCCCACAACCAATAAAACACACAGATCTGAGACCATGTGCTTCAACTGGGGGATAAATGTCAGATTTGTCACTCTCTTTCCCACAACCAATAAAACACACAGATCTGAGACCATGTGCTGCAACTGGGGGATAAATGTCTACTTTGTCACTCTCTTTCACAGAACCAATCACACACACTGACCTGAGGCCATGTGCTTCAACTGGGGGATAAATGTCTACTTTGCCACTCTCTTACACAGAACCAATCAAACGCACAGATCTGAGGCCATGTGCTTCAACTGGGAAATAAATGTCAGATTTGTCACTCTCTTTCACAGAACCAACCACACACACAGACCTGAGGCCATGTGCTTCAACTGGGAAATAAATGTCACATTTGTCACTCTCTTACACAGAACCAATCACACACACAGACCTGAGGCCATGTGTTTCAACTGGGGAATAAATGTCAGATTTGTCCGTCCCTTTCACAGAACCAATCACACACACAGACCTTAGACTTTGTGCTTCAACTGAGAAATAAATGACAGATGTGTTACTCTCTTACACAGAACCAATCACACACACAGACCTGATTCCATGTGCTTCAGCTGGGGGATTAATGTCAGATTTGTCACTTTCTTTCACAGTACCAATCACACACACTGACCTTAGACCATGTGCTTCAACTTGGGAATGAATGACAGATTTGTCCGTCCCTTTCACAGGAACAATCACATACACAGATTAACATACTCTGGGCTAAACACGGAACAAATGCTTCATGGAGTGGGTCAGAAGCTGTCTACCGGACTGCTTGTTCCCCATCACGCTTACCATTCCAGATCTCTTGGTCTTCGGCTGCTGGAATGTCCCAAGTTTGTGCTTATTGAAAAACACCTGGTTTCCACTGTGTTGACTTGGCAATGACTGTCAACACAGACATTCACATTTACCAGAAAACAATATACAAGCCTGAACTTAGTTAATCATTTGACAGGTTTCCAGGAATCAATATTCATCGCGATGATTGTTTTTTTCACCTGTTGTACTTGCATTGTACAGCATATGCAATTAGTGACTGACTATAGTTTTACACCACTCATAGCAATATTCCGTAAATATCATGACAGGGGACATCAGAAATGGGCTTCACACATTGTAGGATGGTACACCATATTATCAAGGTAGTTAATTTATAATGGATTGTCATGGCGCATGCTTTCATACACAAAATGTTTGTTGTTCTTTGTTCAACTTTTATGATACCACTCTACCCCACACCGCTCTACCCCACACCGCTCTACCCCACACCGCTCTACCCAACACCACTCTACCCCACACCACTCTACCCAACACCACTCTACCCCACACCGCTCTACCCAACACCACTCTACCCCACACCACTCTACCCAACACCACTCTACCCCACACCGCTCTACCCAACACCGCTCTACCCCACACCGCTCAACCCAACACCACTCTACCCAACACCGCTCTATCCAACACCGCTCTACCCCACACCGCTCTACCCCACACCGCTCTACCCAACACCGCTCTACCCCACACCACTCTACCCAACACCACTCTACCCAACATTGCTCTACCCAACACCACTCTACCCCACACCGCTCTACCCAACACCGCTCTACCCAACACCGCTCTACCCAACACCGCTCTACCCAACACCGCTCTACCCCACACCGCTCTACCCCACACCACTCTCCCCAACACCGCTCTACCCCACACCGCTCTACCCAACACCTCTCTACCCAACACCGCTCTACCCTTCACCGCTCTACCCAACACCGCTCTACCCAACACCGCTCTACCCAACACCGCTCTACCCTTCACCGCTCTACCCAACACCGCTCTACCCAACACCGCTCTACCCAACACCGCTCTACCCTTCACCGCTCTACCCAACACCACTCTACCCAACACCGCTCTACCCCACACCGCTCTACCCAACACCTCTCTACCCAACACCGCTCTACCCTTCACCGCTCTACCCAACACCGCTCTACCCTTCACCGCTCTACCCAACACCGCTCTACCCAACACCGCTCTACCCTTCACCGCTCTACCCAACACCACTCTACCCAACACCACTCTACCCAACACCGCTCTACCCAACACTGCTCTACCCAGCACTGCTCTACCCCACACTTTTGGTTGGCTGAGAGCGGAAACGCACACATTGTGTCATTGCTCTGACAAACCTACCAGCTGTGGGTAGACTCTACCCAACACCGCTCTACCCAACACCACTCTACCCAACACCACTCTACGCAACACCACTGTACCCCACACTTTTGGTTGGCTGAAAGCCGAAACGCACACATTGTGTCATTGCCCTGACAAACCTACCAGCTGTGGGTAGACTCTACCTAACACCACTGTACCCCACACTTTTGGTTGGTTGAAAGCGGAAACGCACACATTGTGTCATTGCCCTGACAAACCTACCAGCTGTGGGTAGACTCTACCTAACACCACTGTACCCCACACTTTTGGTTGGTTGAAAGCGGAAACGCACACATTGTGTCATTGCCCTGACAAACCTACCAGCTGTGGGTAGACTGTGTCCAGGTACCACTTGAAGGATTTACAGTTCAGCTGCTTCCTCAGAGCTTTGCGGTCTGAGACGTCGCCGGCATCAACATCTTTGGCACCAGGACTGATCTTGTAGTAATATTTCTGAAAGACATGATTTATTGTGACATTCGTGTAGGTGTGACAGCTTCACCATTGCAGTAACACTGCCATGGTGTGAGAGTACCTGTCTCACAATGCTATGAGTGATGGACTTGGCGTTACATTGTTATGACAATAGTTATATCACAGTATGGCAGCTTGTTGTGGGAGCAAAGCCAATTATGGTGCAATCTGTAGAAGTTTATCACCTTGTAGACTAATAATATAGCTCATGTTTAGTCACTTAAATGAAAATATTAAAAGATATAAGAGTGTGTTAAATTGTCTTTTAATATGTAGCAGAAAGGAGCAGAAGGATTCTATTCATGAAACTGAAGAAATCAACACTTGCCAAAATATTGTAGACTTGCTTCAGAGTGCTAGGATTTTTTTAAGGGTTTGTATGAGAGACTCATTGTTTTGGTGCAACTGAGAGTGAGTTCTTGGTGAAACTATCAACTTATATACTGCCTTTGTTGTCTGCTTACACCAGACGTCGGTGACGTCACTTACGATATAGTCATCCATCCACACCAGGGCCACTTGGAGGGAGTTCTTGGTGAAACTATCAACTTATATACTGCCTTTGTTGTCTGCTTACACCAGACGTTGGTGACATCACTTACGATATAGTCATCCATCCACACCAGGGCCACTTGGAGGGAGTTCTTGGTGAAACTATCAACTTATATACTGCCTTTGATGTCTGCTTACACCAGACGTCGGTGACATCACTTACGATATAGTCATCCATCCACACCAGGGCCACTCGGAGGGAGTTCTTGGTGAAACTATCAACTTATATACTGCCTTTGATGTCTGCTTACACCAGACGTCGGTGACATCACTTACGATATAGTCATCCATCCACACCAGGGCCACTCGGAGGGAGTTCTTGGTGAAACTGTCTCCTCCTGGTCCGCTGTATGGCCGCCGCTTGCGGAAGATGTGCCCGACACGCGAACACGGGATGATCTCTAGCTGCCCGCCACACATCCAGATCTGACAACATCACGTCATTAGACAATCTCATTAAAATCAGAGCTTAGTTCTCGCTACCGCTAAACAAAGATCTGGGGACATCCCATTACGGGTCACGTCAGCACGACCTTTCATCCAACCAATCAGAGCCTCGCTTACGAGATCATGAAAGTGACAGTCAGAATGTATTTTCTAATCATGCAACCTCGAAATATTTAACAGAGGGTATTCCTAATGACAGTTACGGGTTTTATGATTATATCCATACAATCTAGGCCACCTATGTCATTCCAGAATGTTGTTTTGGTCGGTTTTATATTTTTTAATCGAGAATACGTCAAAATATGTTTCGAAGCGTAGTCGCCTGTTTGAAACTAGTGCCGTAAAGCTCGAGATAGCCGCCTTCTGATTGGCAAATGTCGATTTCTTGTCAGTCATTTCATTGGTCAGTCAATATTCGCAAAAGGTTGTTCTGACGTGACCTGTAATGGGATGTCCTCAGATCTTTGGTTAGCAGTAGCGAAAACTAAGATTTGGTTTCATTAGACAGGTTAAAGTTAATTATCCCTTGGAGCTTTGCTACTTTAATCATCCGATGTTGTTGTTGTTGTTGTTATTTTTATTTTTATCATATACCGCATGTATCCAGGTACTACTCAAATGCGGTTTTATTTGTTCCCCGACCAGTGGATCCGTTTGCATGAATACCCCACTCAGACACAGTTTATGACTCCGAGCCGACCAGTCCTTGTTTTAGCACCTTAATGCCGAGCGCCAGACAGGGTAACAACAAGTACCATCTTTTAATATATTTTGGTACAACACGGACGGGGATTGAAGCCCAGACCTTCCGCTCTCCGGGCAGACATGCTACCCCTAGAGGTAAGCTTCAACTGGTGTTGGCATCTCTGTGGGCTATCATAAAATTTTGTGAAAACTGTTGGAAAATCAATACAGAATAAAAAAATGGATACATGGGTAGTTGTATCATGTATCATAGTGGCAGGTGAACATTTGTGATGTATTGGTACAATGGTGAATCTTGACAGGTCAAATACATAAATATATAAATAAAACAGAAATAAATATTTTGAACAGACCAGTAACAATATGTATTTTTGGATATTTTGAATTGTTTTCACATCATTTGACTTTGTCATGCTTTGTTCTCTCCTGCTGTTACCATGGTTACTCACCCTGAAGGAAATCTCGAGATTCTCTCCACCCCACACATCCATCCCCGAGTCGTACTCTCCCATCTGGTGGAAGTACATTCTGTCTATGGCAAACAGGCCTCCCGCCATCGTGGGGGACCTGGAGGGTGAGACAAGCTTCTACACATGACTGAACACTTGACTGAACACGTGACTGAACACATGACTGAACACTTGACTGAACATGAGATTGAACACTTGACTGAACACGTGACTGAACACGTGACTGAACATGAGATTGAACACTTGACTGATCAGGTGACTGAACACATGACTGAACACTTGACTGAACACATGACTGAACACTTGACCGAACACTTTAATGAACACATGACTGAAAACTTGACTGAACACTTGACTGATCAGGTGACTGAATACATGACTGAACACTTGACTGAACACTTGACTGATCAGGTGACTGAACACATGACTGAACACTTGACTGAACACATGACTGAACACTTGACCGAACACTTTAATGAACACATGACTGAAAACTTGACTGAACACTTGACTGATCAGGTGACTGAATACATGACTGAACACTTGACTGAACACTTGACTGATCAGGTGACTGAACACATGACTGAACATGTGACTGAACATTATGAGGACAATCACTTGTTGCAGGAATATATATGGATTATTCTGATATGACTTAAGCATGTAAGCAAGGGGATAAAGTGTCAAAGCATGTACTTGGTATTATGATGTAAAAACGTTGTGATGTGAGTGTGAGTTGGGTTAACAATGCTTTGAACAGCATATAATGGCGTGTCAGGTTAATGTTGGAGAAGGCCTGAAGTGATGCACGTCTAAGACATTTTCCACTTTGTGAAACCCACGAGCACGGGTATGGTGCTGACAAACATTATCAGGGCGAATCTGGGATTTAAACATACAACATAGGTTCCTGGCACACCTAAGAGAGAAAACTCTGCATAATGAACTGCTGTGCTGAAGACCACTGGAACAGCCACTCCCCCTTCCTGATATTGGATCAGTACGCCATAAAATAATAATAACCATTTTGGCAAAACCAATGTCACTGACAGACCAAAGGATCATAATAAAGGGACAATCTGGGCTTCAAACTCATAAAAAGCACCTTAGACCACTTGGCTACCATGCCTCATTAATAGTTACATTTTGTTTGTTTGATGTTTAACGCCGCAATCAGCAATATTCCAGCTATATGATGGTGATCTGTCTGGACCAGACAATCCAGTGATTGATATCATGAGCATCCATCTAAGGACTTGGGATACGATGACATGCATCAACCGAGTCAGCGAGCCTGACCACCCGATCCCGTTAGTTCCCCCTATGACAAGTATAGTCACCTTTTACGGCAAGCATGGGTTCTTGAAGACTTATTCTAACCCAGATCTTTATGGGTCATTAATAGTTAGTGAGTGAGTGAGTTGGGTTAAACTCCGCTTTTAACAGTATTCCAGTTATATCACGGCGTGTCAGCTTAATGTAGGAGGAAAGCCCCAAGTGATGCAGGTCTCAGACGTTTACCACTTCGGTGAAACCCACGAGCACGGGTATGGTGCTGACAAACCTAGAAACATAATCGGGGCGAACCGAGATTCGAACCCACAATCATAGGTTTCTGGCGTGCCCAAGGGACGCATCTCTGCACAGCGAATCGCGTTGACTTTGAAGACTGGGCCACCCGTGCCCCCAGTTATAATAAGACAAACACACACTCTGGCTGTGAATTTCTCCACATACTTCATTGGTTTGCTGTTTGTAGCTTGGTTGTCCACGACACTCTGAGGAAGTTGGTCCCAGCGGAAGTGCATCCCCCAGTTGAAGCCTCCGCGCACCAGCGGCGAGGCCTCGTAGGCGAAGGTGTCGGGGCTGATGATGTCGATTATGGGGATGACAACGTTGTGCTCACTCTCTGCTACCCGCTCCAACAGCGGCTCCAGCCAGTTGACATTCACCTCACAGTGACTGTCCAGGAACACCAACACCTGGCGAGAGTGAGTGAGTGAGTGAGTGAGTGAGTGAGTGAGTGAGTGAGTGAGTTAGTTCGGTTTAGCGCTGCTTTAAACAGCATTTCTGTTATCTAACAGTGTGACAGTTTTACGTGGAAGCCGAGTGAGTGAGTGAGTGAGTGAGTGAGTGAGTGAGTGAGTGAGTGAGTTGGGTTTAGCGCTGTTAAACAGCATTTCTGTTATCTAACAGTGTGACAGTTTAATGAGTAAGCTGAGTGAGTGAGTGAATGAGCGAGGGAGTGAATAAGTGAGTGAGTAAGTGAGTTGGGTTTAGCGCTGCTTTAAACAGCATTTCTGTTATCTAACAGTGTGACAGTTTAATGTGGAAGCCGAGTGAGTGAGTGAGTGAGTGAGTGAGTGAGTGAATGAGCGAGGGAGTGAGTGAGTTGGGTTTAGCGCTGCTTTAAACAGCATTTCTGTTATCTAACAGTGTGACAGTTTAATGTGGAAGCCGAGTGAGTGAGTGAGTGAGTGAGTGAGTGAGTGAATGAGCGAGTGAGTGAGTGAGTTGGGTTTAGCGCTGCTTTAAACAGCATTTCTGTTATCTAACAGTGTGACAGTTTAATGTGGAAGCCGAGTGAGTGAGTGAGTGAGTGAGTGAATGAGCGAGTGAGTGAGTGAGTTGGGTTTAGCGCTGCTTTAAACAGCATTTCTGTTATCTAACAGTGTGACAGTTTAATGTGGAAGCCGAGTGAGTGAGTGAGTGAGTGAATGAGCGAGTGAGTGAGTGAGTTGGGTTTAGCGCTGCTTTAAACAGCATTTCTGTTATCTAACAGTGTGACAGTTTAATGTGGAAGCCGAGTGAGTGAGTGAGTGAGTGAGTGAGTGAGTGAGTGAGTGAGCAAGCGTGCGTGCGTGCGTGCTTGCGTCATGGCATGACAGCTTCATGTGGAAGCGCCAATGTCCTAGATGTTTGCCACTTGATCATGAATTGAAACCAACGTGTGAGTGAGTGAGTGAGTGAGTGAGTTGGGTTTAGCGCTGCTTTAAACTTTAATGTGGATGCCTCAAGTTATGGAGTGAGTGAGTGAGTGAGTGAGGTGAAATGGGTAAACTGGGGTTTTGTGTCATGTAACAAAGTAATGCCAAAAAAACCACTTATAATGCTAACAAATATCTGACATATGTTCATCCGCTTATTTACAAGCTCAACTTCATCCTACCTCTCCTCGGGCCTTCTTAGCTCCAAACATCCGAGCCCGAATCAACCCTGACCTCTCCTCCATCCGGTACACCTTTACTTGCGGCAGGTTGATGTGGATATAGTTAAGGAAGTCTCCCCTCAGTTCATCTGTCAAACAGGTGAGGCGAAACGAGGTTTAACGTCACCACCAAGATGACTGCACTTATATCGTGACATGCATGCATGTGTGTGTAGGGCTGCTTGTACTAGTCCGGACTGATGCCGATTTATAGTGCTAGCCAACTGAGATACCATGCCACAGTTTAACATGAATACCCCACTCAGACACAATATACTGACTCCAAGCTGACCAGTCCTTGTTTTTGCCCCTCAATGCTGAGTGCCAGGCAGGGTAACAACAAGTACCATCTTTTAACGTCTTTTGGTATGACGCGGATGTTGATCGAACCCCAGACTGTATGCCTACTCAGTCTTTGTCAACTAGTCCTTCACTTTGTTTGTTGATTAACGCCACACTCAGCAATATCCAAGCTATATGACGGCAGTCAGGTGTGAACCAGACAATCCAGTGATTGACATCATGAGCATTGATTTGGGATATGGTGACAGCATCATAGACCCTCCCATCCCGTTAGTTGCCTCTTAAGAGAAGCATAGGTCGTTGATGACCAATTCAAACATGGATCTTCATGGGGGCAGTCCTTTACCTAGTACACCTGACTAGGTCACTGTAGTCATTGATCAGTATAATCTCATTGAGAAGGTGTTCCGGTGATCGGGCTATCACAGTGTGGATTGTACACCTACCTAGGTCACTGTAGTCATTGATCAGTATAATCTCATTGAGAAGGTGTTCCGGTGATCGGGCTATCACAGTGTGGATTGTACACCTACCTAGGTCACTGTAGTCATTGATCAGTATAATCTCATTGAGAAGGTGTTCCGTTGATCGGGCTATCACAGTTTAACTGTACACCTACCTAGGTGACAGTAATCATCGATCAGTGTAATCTCATTGAGAAGGTGTTCCAGTGATCAGGCTATCACAGTTTAACTGTACACCTACCTAGGTGACTGTAATCATCGATCAGTATAATCTCATTGAGAAGGTGTTCTGGTGACCGGGCTATCACAGTGTGGACTGTACACCTACCTAGGTCACTGTAATCATCGATCAGTATAATCTCATTGAGAAGGTGTTCTGGGGTCCGGGCTATCACAGTTTAACTGTACACCTACCTAGGTCACTGTAATCATCGATCAGTATAATCTCATTGAGATGGTGTTCCGGTGACCAGGCTATCACAGTGTGGACTGTACACCTTCCTAGGTCACTGTAATCATTGATCAGTATAATCTCATTGAGGTGTTCTGGGGTCCGGGCTATCACAGTTTAACTGTACACCTACCAAGGTCACAGTAATCATCGATCAGTATAATCTCATTGAGGTGTTCTGGGGTCCGGGCTATCACAGTTTAACTGTACACCTACCTAGGTCACTGAAATCATCGAGAAGTATAATCTCATTGAAGTGTTCTGGGGTCCGGGCTATCACAGTGTGGATTGTGCACCTACCTAGGTCACTGAAATCATCGATCAGTATAATCTCATTGAGAAGGTGTTCCGGTGACCGGGCTATCACAGTGTGGATTGTGCGCAGCAAGGCAGATCTGGCTTCGTTGATGTAGCAGATGATAACGCTAGCTGTCGGCAGGTTACTGGAGAACACACTGTCCCTGCACCTGAAACAGGAAGAAGAGTCTCAGTCTGAAAGTCAGGAACAGGAATTTACCTGGGTCTATTAATTTGTGAGCCCATGGAACTTTCAGTAAAAACACCAGGGGTCATACGCATGGAAATGTGGGTTTCAAGTGACCATTGTACTGACAACAAATACAGCGTAAACATTTATGAAGCCTTCATCTTCCTGAGGCAAACGTGTCCACTAGCCTATATCAAAGCCTAGTTTCTACCCTTGCCACATCAAGGCCACTTTTCTTTGCTCCACCCTGGCGCCACCTCATAATGTGCCCTGAGTAATGAAAACCCGATATCCAATCAGTTCGCTGTTCTTATCTTGAGTAGCTTCACAAAGGTGGTGACAACCATAGGCGACGACCTAGTCGATCAGGTAACAAAAACATTTACAATTTCATCCCTGAAACAAAAACATAGACATTAACATGAAAATGACATATTCGTGTCAACAAAGACAGGCAGCAATAAATCACTTTCAGACGAAGGTGTACTAGTCGTGGATGTTGATTTTGTGAAACACTCTCTGATTGGACTATCGATATGTATGATAGTCCAATCGTACTTTTCACAGGAAAGTGGGCTTGATGTGGCAAGGGTGGAAACAAGACTTTGATAAAAAGGCTAGTGGACGCTCTTGCCTCGGGAGTGAGTGATTGAGTATGGTTTTACGCCGCTTTTAGCAATATTCCAGCAATATCACGGCGGGGGACACCAGAAATGGGCTTCACACATTGTACCCATGTGGGGAATCGAACCCGGGTCTTCGGCGTGATGAGCGAACGCTTTAACCACTAGGCTACCCGACCGCCCCTCTTGCCTCGGGAAGATGTGAAGTATTATGATTATTACTGAAATGGATTTCCTCTTATGGACCCATACTTGACAGTGTCTGTGAGTTGGGATTAACATGGCTTTGAACAGTATTCAGTTAGTTGTGTTTGACACGACTGGGACACCCATGCCACCTTGTTGAAATAAACAGTTTGAATATTGATAATGTTTTGTTTCTGAATAGATATGTGCATGAACATAAATTTTACATGTTTGTCTTTTCTTGTAATAGGTGGAAGGTGAAATGGGGTTTACACCTGGTTCAAGATTATTGCCCTTCATTAAACACAACAATCTTCCCCAGGCAAGCCTGTCAAATAGCCCATATCAAGACTAGTTTTCTTCCTGGCCATTTTAAGCCTACCTTTCTATGCTAACAGAGACATGATCGGGATTGGACAATCGCACATATCGACAGTCCAATCAGAGAACGTTTTACAAAATCAGTATCCAGGTTCAATGTGTCAAATTTGCTCTGAAATCATTCAAACAACAAATATTCTAGAAGGCATCTCAAGTTATCAATCAGCAGGCCCATGCAGTTAGTGCCTTTTATATATTTGTGTGCAAACTTCATTGTATTTGAACGACTAAATGCTTATCGCAGTGACTGAGATGCAATGCTATTTTTAGACCACCCATACTGCCACCCTTTTCATGTAACTGCAATGTGCTGTGTTACGTGATAATATGGAGTCTGTGAGTCTCCATTATCGGCAGAACAAAATCTGACATTTTGTTTGTTTTACAGGGATCAAATCTGGAATTTGTTCATTATCTGATCGACCAAAATATTCAAAACAAGAACAGCAAACTGATTGGATATCACATTTTCATCACAAGGGGTACAACTTGTGTTTGGGTACAACTACTGAGCCAAGAAAAAGTAGGCTTGAAATGGCATGAGCAAGACTTTGAAATAGGCTAATGGACACTCATGCCTCATCTTTCAACGTCTTTTGGTACGACACGGCCGGTGATCGAAACCCAGACCTTCCACTTTTTGGGCGGACACTTTACCATTAAACATATCTTTAACATATTTGGTATGATGCAGCCGGGGATCAAATCTTCTGCCGTACAGGCGGACACTGAATCCACCAGACCAACATGTCTGTCACATGTTTGACCAGAAATGTAGACAGCCATAACACATCTGCTGAGGGTCAAATGAAAACATTTTTTGGCTCTTCCTTTCAGAAAAATTACATGTCTTGAAGAAGTGACCCAAAAAATATATTGTCTGAGAAATATGAGGTGCTGAGGACAAATTCAGACCCAGTATGTCGGAATTCAGGAGTCCACGATGGAATCAGTGGACAACACGGCCATGGCACTGTGTTCGTGTATACGTACTGCGGGTTCCTCGTGTCGGGGATAGGTCGTACATAATCAAGTCTGTCGCTGATGAGGATGTTGAAGGCATGGCGGTGGTAACCTGAAACAGTCATTGACAACAGCCTTGTCAAGAACATCGTCAGGATACGCATGGTATTACCACAGACATGTTTCTATACAAAACTTAATGCCATACAGTCAAAGAATCCAATGTTTAGCTGCTGTCATCCGTCATGCCAGGTGAACTTTCTTATCACTCAATCAGACCCGAGGCAACTAAAGTCTTTGCATGAGTGAGTGAAGCATCCAGACAATTTGATTTCTGTATCTCAAAAATGAATATAATTGGGGAGTTCAAATGCAAAAAAATAAAGCCATGATAATATACCTTTGCAGCTATTTATTACATCCTGCTGTTTCCGAGTGCCAGGGCATCTTCATACAAAGGGTGTACTACAAAGGGCATATCTGTGTTTATATGGGGTTTTCTGAATTCTGAATAAAGGTGATAAAAAAATTAGGCTGAATTGATTTAGAAAGCTGAATTCTGACTGGCGCATGAATCCATGAATCTTTTGCCTATTTGGATTAGGTTGTCAATTTTCCCTGAGATACAGCCTCCTATGGAGATGTTGTCTGATATTACAGGCAGAGCAGTGTCCAAAACAGCTGCCTACTGCTTTCCCATGGATGGTTACATTTCTGTTGCGACAGGTAAAAAAAATTGCAGTAATCATTGTATTTATTTTTACTGTTTGTGTAGATTTTGTAATTATTTTTACTATTTCTTAAGATTTACTGTGTTTAATAACATTTGCTTTACTGCAAATCACGACTGAACTTTCTCCTGAGTCGTGTCAACACTGACTGGTTACAAACTCATCAAGCATGCATCTGATTGTGAAGTGGAACCTGACCACCCAATGTTCTGGTTGCCTCTTATAACCCACATAGGTTGCTGGGCCTGAGATGAGTCCAAATTTACTACCCGGCAACCCCCACCCCCCTATTACCCAACCCTACCCGGGTACCCACTGTAGGTCTCAGATGTCTCAAAATGTCCGATTAGGAACATTTTTAACATAGCCCTGGCAAAACATATTTTGATACATGTATTTAACAATCTGGTCATTCATACACTGAGTGAGTGAGTGAGTGAGTGAGTGAGTGAGTGAGTGAGAATACTGCTTAACGCCGCATCAGCAATTTTGCAGCTATTTGCGGCAATCATACACTGAAGTTCAATCAAGTTATATCTTTATTCAACCATATGAAAAATCAGAAGGAATGGTTGCATAGTCAGAAAGAAATGCGAACATTAGTGACTTGTAGTGTAACAATAGAGTTCTAGATAATTTTTGTCATTCAACAATATATCAAGTGACTAACCACAGGTCCGGGTAGTCCTTTAATATCACAGCAGAGGACATCAGGACTGGGCTTTATACACTGTAACCTTGCACAACAAGGAGTGAGATTGTACCCTGGTCTTTGGTGTGACTAGACAGGGATGTATCTAGACCTGCTCAGAGGCCGATATTTGGTCTCACGTCTGCAAAATGTCTGTATCGATTTTCAAATTGGATGTAAAAATTTCTTAACCAAATGAATTACTCTTCTTGCCAGGAGAAATTTAGAACTGATCATCTACTTTTTGCCAGTTGACCATGATTTCAGTTTTCCAGGGGCAACTGCGATGGGGGACATTTTCCAGGGGCGATCGTACAGGGCACACATTTCCTGGGGCAGTTGTACAGGGGGCACTTTTTTTGGGCAATTGTATAGGGGGCACTTTTCCAGGGGGCACATTTCCTGGGGCAGTTGTATAGGGGGCACATTTCCTGGGGCAATTGTACAGGGGGCACTTTTCCTTGGGCAGTTGTATAGGGGGCACTTTTCCAGGGGGCACATTTCCTGGGGCAGTTGTACAGGGGGCACTTTTCCTTGGGCAATTGTATAGGGGGCACTTTTCCAGGGGGCACATTTCCTGGGGCAGTTGTATAGGGGGCACATTTCCTGGGGCAATTGTACAGGGGGCACTTTTCCTTGGGCAGTTGTCTAGGGGGCACTTTTCCAGGGGGCACATTTCCTGGGGCAGTTGTACAGGGGGCACTTTTCCTTGGGCAATTGTATAGGGGGCACTTCTCCAGGGGGCACATTTCCTGGGGCAGTTGTATAGGGGGCACATTTCCTGGGGCAATTGTACAGGGGGCACTTTTCCTTGGGCAGTTGTATAGGGGGCACTTTTCCAGGGGGCACATTTCCTGAGGCAGTTGTATAGGGGGCACTTTTCCTGGGGCAGTTGTATAGGGGGCACTTTTCCAGGGGGCACTTTTCCTGGGGCAATTGTATAGGGGGCACTTTTCTTGGGCAATTGTATAGAGGGCACATTTCCTTGGGCAATTGTACAGGGGGCACTTTTCGTTGGGCAATTGTACAGGGGGCACTTTTCGTTGGGCAATTGTACAGGGGGCACTTTTCCTGGGGCTGTTGTATAGGGGGCACATTTCCTGGGGCAATTGTACAGGGGGCACTTTTCCTTGGGCAATTGTACAGGGGGCACTTTTCCTTGGGCAATTGTATAGAGGGCACATTTCCTGGGGCAGTTGTGCAGAGGGCACTTTTCCTGGGGCAGTTGTACAGGGGGCACATTTCCTGGGGCAATTGTATAGAGGGCACTTTTCCTGGGGCAGTTGTGCAGGGGGCATATTTCCTGGGGCAATTGTATAGAGGGCACTTTTCCAGGGGCAGTTGTGCAGGGGGCACTTTTCCTTGGGCAGTTGTGCAGGGGGCATATTTCCTGGGGCAATTGTATAGAGGACACTTTTCTGGGGGCAGTTGTGCAGGGGGCACTTTTCCTAGGGCAATGGTACAGGGGGCACATTTCCTGGGGCAGTTGTCCAGGGGCACTTTTAATTGGGCAATTGTATAGGGACACTTTTCCTGAGGAGTTGTACAGGGCGCACATTTCCTGGGGAGTTGTACAAGGGGCAATTTTACAGGGAGGCAGATGCCTTCAAATCAAGAATGTTATTTTGGGCATAAACATGACAAACACACGGTAGAGGGGAGTCAATCTTAACACCATGACCTACTTTGGTGCAGACGAACATTTGAAGAGTACATTATCTTCTTCGTTTTCTTACCTTGGTCATGTTTACGCTGGTCGTCTGGTGTCTCAATCCTCCCTATGTCATGGAGATGCCCGAGACTGTACTTGGATAGTTTCCCATTATCCGCCACATCATCAGGGGGCAAGGGCATAGGAACTCCCTTGTGGGGCCGTGGTCGGAAAAGTCTCGGGTGTCTGTTGATGTCGCTGGCATAATGGTGTAACAGGAAGTAGATGAGGCAGAAACCGATGATGACGACCACAGGCAGCTTGATCTGACGAAGACGGGGCATCACCACGTCACAACACAACTGTCAGGACTCAGTCATTATCTGTAACAATTGTGGGTTGTATTATAAGTGCTCCACAACTCCAGATAAGCTGGGTATTTGCGTAAAATATGCAAAACAAATCACAATTACCCAATAAATTTGATTTGTTGTTGGTTTGTTGTTTAAGTCGTACTCAGCAATATTCCAGCTATATGACTGCGGTCTGTAAATAATCGAGTCTGGACCAGACAATCCAGTGATTAATATCATGAGCATCAATCCACGCAATTGGGATCGATGACATGCACACATCAACCAAGTCAGCGAGCCTGACCACCCGATCCCGTTAGTCGCCTTTTACGACAAGCATAGTCGCCTTTTACGGCAAGCATGGGTTGCTGAAGATCTATTTTACCCAGGATCTTCACGGGTACAATAAATTTGAAGTTGCGTACAAACATACATGAAAAGTTTCAGAAACATAACAATATAACAGTCTTCATAATTACCCAATGTTTCCTTCACAACTTACGACCTGTGAAGTCCCCAATGAAAGTCCAGTTTCCACCCTTGACGAATTATGGAGTAATATTTTGGCTTAACTAACAAGTCTATGCATAGTCCAATCAAAATCATATATAAATATTGACACTCGGCAGATTTTGGTTGATTGCAGGATTTGCAAAGCATGTGTACCGCCAACTTGGTGTCAACAAATTTACCCAAATCGATCAGATCGCCTTGACTGGGCGCCGCCATTTTGTTTAAAGCAAACACAAGTGACATGACAGGTGGAATCTGATTGGTCAATAGGAGGGACATAGAAGGGACATAACCCGTAATAGCCACTGGTGGCGCTACGATCGAACCCAGAGATTCAAGCCAAGTTCAGCAAGGGTGGAAACTGGACTTTTATAGACAGTTACCGGTAACCCCCTTGCCTATAGGGAAGATGCATCTCCTCAGAAAATCAGCCTGGGTCAAACGTTCAAGGATTTGCTCATAATGAAATATTTGAAAATGACTTCCTGAAAAACCTCTAACCTCAGCCTTTTTGACACATTTTAGCCTTACCTATACATTCAGTGCTGCTGTAAGACCCAAAATGCAATGTTAACTCGACAAGTCAAATTCTCACTCTTATGAACACATCTCATAACTTTCAAAATGATCTTTTAACTATGCATATCTCATGGGTCCCTATCATACATTGACCTTTCACCAAATTACCTGTATACAACCTGCAACATCGCCAGAACAGCAGACATGAAAAAATTGTTTATTGAACATCAATATCAACAAGATGGTGAAGGATAACTACCAACTCTGTGTTTTGAACAAGCAGTAACAGACTGAATCAGACAATACAAAATCAATGCAATTATTGCAGCTGTTCCCAAGTTCAATGTTTATTTCTAAACAAGCCAAGGAACTGGGGTCACCTGGTGCTGTTAGCATTGATCAACATGTAGGCTTGCAGGGATTCACATGATGCATAATTCCTGCTTATTTGAACCAATAATTTTCCTGCAAATACTCGCAAACATTTTTGAATACAAGTCCTAATTGACACAATAAAAATTTGCGGAGGAAATCTAAATATTTTTTTAAAGTAATGACGACTAATCCACTAGTTATTGAAAATAAAACAAATGTTCAAACTTTCAGAATTAAATGAGACCAAATAACTATCAAAAAAAGAGAAATTTGGAATTTCCACTGTGTATATATAGAGCACTGTTGCACTGCATTACTGCTATGACTACACACCAGCCAATCAACTGTGTGTGTTTCTATCTAGCATTTACTACAGTCACAGTGTATTTGACAGCAAACAAGTATAGCCAGGCCAAAAACAGAGGGGTCTCATATTGTTTGCATCAGTGTAAAGAAAATAATGACTCCCAAATTCAAAAAATGAACCCAGCTCTCCCCCCTCCCCTCAACCCCCTAAAAAAATACATTATGAAATTTTTAAAAATTGAAAAGTAGTGAGTCATCATCACTCCAATTCTTACAAGGTTATGTGTAAAACCCTGAATTTGTGAAACCATATTCCTTCAGTTCTTGATGTTCTTGTGATGTGGCCCTCAATGACAAGAATATGAGATATGCGTACAACTAAAAATCACTCTGAACATACAGATATTCAAAAAGTAGTTGAAATAGACAGATAGGACCAAGGACATCTATTAAACATCCGTGATTTAAATAAGGTATTGTTGTTTTAACACAGTACTTAACTGCTCAGTGATGTTTATTTTATATAGATACACACCTTTATATCAGCAAGTGATGCAATAGGTGATCTGAGGCACCAACACATAACTTTTTATAAGGAAAGCATTTGGGAATCGAACCCATAGGTCTATGGTATGATGAACAAACACCTTTACCACTGAGCTTACCAACAAACACTTGAAACAGCAATCGTGTCGCAATTGTTCGCAGTTAGTTGAGCAAATTATAATCACATTAATGTTTTCTTCAGGTTGATATTCAAATTCATACTCACACGTCTTCTGAACCATCAAACACTTGTTGAAACGTACTGCAATACATTACTGTTCAGATATTTCCACTTCCAATGCCAAACATCACATAGACTGGTCTCGCCACTCTGCGTTTCCTTATAGTTGCCACTTTCATAGACAGAACTCAGTTTGGAATGTGTGTTCGTTAAGATAAACTTGTAGAGCTAGTAACTGATGAGTTTTAAAATAGTGAATATATTTGAATTTATCGCAGTTTCAATATAATCGATATATTATCAGAGAGAAATACATTTTCGGATATTACGTAGTCTTTTTCAGAACATCCAGGACCTATTTCTTTAATGTATATTGAAAACATGAATTGTTAACGGATCAGATTGGTTAACCAAACGGAAAAGACAACGTACCTTGTTTGCCACTTATATCATACTTAAAAACTAGTTTTTGGCTATATTTACAAAAGAGGTTGATATTCATTCTTTTTTCATCTTCTTATTCTGTTATCTGTATATCTCATTTGTCGCACCTTATGTCTGATGTTAGTATATGCCTGTGAATATCTTACGGATGTTGTCAGCGACTACACGTGTGATATCCGGTCGTTACTTCCGTCAACAAAAGCACATGGGATCCAGCCCACCCGCAAGAGAAACATGCTCTTGTTGACTTACTTCAGACGAAGGATGCTATGCTTTGACATGTAAGGCATTAAAAGTAAGACGATACGAAGGATGCCACGCTTGTATTTGAGACATTTTTCAAGAGAAGAAAGCTACACAGCGTCAAAAAGGCCGTCACCATGAGGAAGCGACATCTGGCATGACGAAAATGAAACCTTGAAATGTCGTAGTAGAATTACCGTGTGTAGGGTTTTGTGTTTTTGAACGTAAACCATCGACATCTTTTAGTGAGCATACGTTCTCGTTTATAAATAATGTCAAGTAACATATAACTGTCACCAGCTGTCTAAAAGACAGATCAGAAATACGTTGCCTAACGATCCTTATATTTCAGTGAACATGGTGAATGACACACCAGGTCATCAGCAACTTGGGTGCAGGCTAAAACGTCACCGATTTCTCTGGCGAAAACGGCTACTATGTGTCGGGCGAAAACGGCACCTCTATTTTTAATAATGATAAATGTAGTAATATATATGGTATATACATGGTCAGCACCATGTTAGGACTCTTAAAAACAGTTTCCATTTAAATTGAGTAAAGGTACTTAAAACTTAAAGCGTAAAGTGTTTTCACATTAAGTTAACTGAGCCTCCCAATCAGTCGGCGAGTAAATTGGAGTATGGGTCTAATTTCTTACTTGTTTTATTTCACAATTTCACAATTATTTGTGTTTGTAAGAGACGACGTGAGTTTAATTTCTATTATTTTTCTTCAAAGCATGTCATGTTTTCACGATAAGTTGTGCTGCGTATAAGCTAAGTTGGATTATAGTTGGAGTAGAGGCTAATTTCTAATGTAAACTTGTTTTAGCATCTCACAATTATTGGTGTTTGCAAGTTACCATATAAGTTTAATAGCACATATTTGACCAAGGTACAAAAAAAATAAGGTGTAAATAAAATAATAGTAGCCGTTTTCGCTTGAGTCAAGGTGCCGTTTTCGCCAATCGGTGACGTTTTGCTGAGGTGCTGTTTTCGCTATAACCCAGCAACTTGAACCATTCTGATACCATGGTATATTTCAGTCAATTTTTGTGTTGTTTTGTTGAGCATATAGTTTGCTTGTTACTAATCCTGTTTTCTATCACTGTCTATAATTGTGGATGTAAAGTATGCTTTTAAAAAATAAAATGTTCCAAGAGACAATCTATACAGTTGCAGTATTAACCGATTCAAACTAGGACATACATTAAAGGTCTTGCTTAGACCAGTATGTAATGCAGGTTTATTTTACAAGAAGTGGGTAATTTATGATTCAACAGTATGTAGTTCATTTACCTAACTATGAATAGCCAGAAGTCTGCTTATAAGTTATTAAGAGACCAGGGCCCACTTGCAATCTTAGCACTAAGATTATAGTAAGCCTATGTTAAAGTATGGGAGTTACATTCATCTAAGCGCTAAGATTGTTTTGTGCAATTGGGCCCTGGTCATGAAATTATGCATGGACTTCACAACCTGTCACAGTGTTTCAGGAATATTTATTACCCTAGCTTCATCAAGTTGTTTGTTGTTTAACGCTGCACTCAGCAATATTCCACACTATATGGCAGTCATCTATAAGTCCGTATAGTAAGTCTGGACCAGACAATCCGGTGATTGACACCATTAGCATCAATCTGGGTTATAGCTAAAACGGCACGTCAGCAAAACATCACCTGGCGAAAACGGCACCGATTGGCGAAAAACGACACCTTGCCTCAAGCGAAACGGTTACAATTGCCTTGCGAAAACGGCACCCTATTTTTTTTTTTACCTTGGTAATATAAATGAAATTAAACTTACATGGTCGCTTGCAAACACCAATAATTGTGAAAAGTTCAAACAAGTTTACATTAGAAATTAGCCCCCTGAGTCAGCTACTATCACAATGCTCGGTGGTACATGGGCCGATATTGTAAACTGTGATGAAGATGAAAACTGAAGAACTGTATATATGTGAATGTATGTAGTTATCTGTGAACAACTGGAAAACAGGAAATAACATGTAAATACATCAAATAATATGTAACAAATAACATAAATTGGATATACTACTTAAGAAATCGTTATTAGAAATAGAGGTGCCGTTTTCACCCATCACATAGCAGCCATTTTCGCCAAATGCAGTGCCGTTTTCGCCAGAGAAATCGGTGACGTTTTGCTGAGGTGACGTTTTAGCCTGCACCCCATCAATCGCAATTGGGATCCAATAACATGTATCAACCAAGTCAGCAAGCCTGACTACCCGATCCTGTTTGTTGCCTCTTAAGACAAGCATGGGTTTTCTGAAGACTAATTCTAACCTGGATCTTCATGAGATGCTTCATCAAGTGAATGATAGAGCTATTGCATGTTTTAAAAAATATACGGTCAGATTATGTTTACAAAGGATAGGAATAACATATAAAGAACACAAGAAAGTCATGATAACGATAACTATAATTATAATAATTACCCAATGTAGCCTTCTCAGCTTGCGACCCTGTATGTTACTACAGATCTTTATTTACTAATCAAATGCAGGCTTCACCTATTCATAAACTCTACTGCAGTGAATAATGTAAATAAGTGTAATGTATCACTGTTGTGAGCTTGTGTTGTATTTGATATACTAGGGGCCATTCATCACCACTCGCCCCTTTCTGTAGCCTGCAAGAAGACTCTTGCACCCTTAATTACGGGCAATTAGTTAAGTCGAATACAGCATGTGTGTGTGTAATATGATTTTCTGTTTCTATTCAGGTGAACTGGATAAGACATATACCCCCTGTGAAACATTTCTATAAATAAAAATGTTGTGGCGACTCTGCTATCAAGCTGGAATAGTTTGTATCGTGGCATATTTGACTTTAAAACTGATCCAGACAGAACAGTTCGAAACCTTTTCAAATAAGGTTCTGATTCCGAAGTTAAATGCAGTGTTGAATATATTTGAGACCACAAGGAATGAACATTTGGCAGACACACATCAAGTCAAAGCTGTCTGGACCAAAGAAGATGACAGAGAACTATTTAAAGTTGGTATGGTGAGAAACAAAACGGATGAAATAACATTAGCTGAAGGTAAGTCCCCAAGTCATTTGTTCAATCTTATTCAAATCAGATCTTAGTTCTCACTATCGCTTAACAAAGATCTGAGGACATCCCAGATCTCGTCAGAACGACCTTTCATTTGACCAATCAAAGCATCGCTTGCTAGATCATGAAATTTCAGTTGGAATGTGTTCTCTAATCATGCAACCTCGAAAACTTTAACACGGGGGATTCCGAACGGCAGTAATGGCCCGTACGACTGATTTTGTCGAAATTATTGTCTGTTTCTCGCTTCCGTGGGATAAACATTTGAATGGAAGAGGCGTGGCACAGTATGTGGGAAGCACTGCTATACAATCTCATCCATATACTAGTATAAGACATGTTTGTTTGTTCAGTTTTCAAAATTTTAATCAATTTTAATTAATTTTAAATGCGTGCACATATTTTTCAAGCGTAGTCTGAAATTGAAGTCGCCAGGTTGAAACGAGTGCTTGAAAAAGCTGCTTTCTCATTGGCTGATGTCGAATTCTTGTTAGTCATTTCAGTGGTCGGTCAAAGTTCGCAAAAGGTCGTTCTGACGTGACCCTGATGGGATGTCCTCAGGTCTTAGTTTAGTGGCAGCAAAAAACTTAGATCTGATTTAATGACATTGGTCATTTGTTATATCTTGCGTTAACTATTAATATTAATAGTAATTGTGGTTTTGGTTTTCATTAACAAAGTATGATTGAATCTTTGGAAATTTTGTTGATGTCATGGATTGAGAAGTTTATAGTTTGGCCAAAATAAATCGGTTATTGTGTTTTCATTCCTGCCTGCCTCATATAATTTTGTTGTCCTCAATTACCTTCTGACGAAGAAAATCTCTACGTGTGCTCCTCCTTCACTTGGTGGAATAGTCGACCCAAACATTCATGCTTCATGTAGATCTTAGCAGTTGAGGATTTTCATAGATGCCTTAAACAGTTTGTTTATAATATCTAACAAATATGCAATGCCTCCCACCTCATACCCTTCAAAATTTTGGATGAAAATCCATTAAAGGGCAAGTTCACACGGAAATGAACCTATTTTTCTTGTACTTTTTCCACATTTAAAGTGTTAACATAGAAGTGTCATAGACAAAAATATAAAAATATCACAATTAATTAACATATTTTTCGCATTAAAACGATTTATATTTTTCACATTTACCAAGTGTTCTATTTCCACAACAAAAACACCATGGCTTATGCCCCTTGCAATATGACGTCATTGGTGCCAATTGATAAACATTATGACGTCATCATGCTTTGTTAGAGCCGCTTCACGTGGTGTAGGTCCAGGTGTGTGATTCTAGCGTCTCAGATGCCAGCCAGCATAGTGTTATGCTGAGTCACCACTGCTCCGGAGTGTGTCGTAGGCCATGTTGTTTTACCGCAAACTGGTACTTGATATCTTTTGCGTTGAGAATAGACAGGGACCCAGTTGAATTGGCACCAATTACGTCATAATCTAAGGGGGATAACTCAGGCCTGTTTAGCTCGAAAAACGAAGGCCTCATAACGGCATATCATTTTCATACTATTGTGAGCTTCCTACGTTCACTGTGAAAAAAAAGAGTGTATATTTTCAAACACAGATACTAATTAATTCTAAAATTGCGTTTTGTTTAGAAAAAGAAAGAAAGTGATTTTTGCGTGTACACTTCCCCTTTAAGGTATCATTGTTTATTGTGGCCTCAGATCGAAATGTAAACAAAGTTGTTTGCCTGTACACACCACATTAATCATGATAATTGCTGACTTAAATTATTTTTTTAACCTATTTTTGACTACAACAGTCGTTGATCACAAAAACAGAATTTGGACTATCGATAAAATGAAAATTATCAACAAAACTGTTAAACTTTGAGTATGTTTAGAATAGGGCTGGGATGGGTATTTCGGCTACTCGGGTCGGGTGGATACTGAGTAGGACCCGCCGGATCCGTGGTTAGTCACGTGATATATTGTTTCATGACAAAAATTCACTATATAACTCATGGTTACACGACAATTTTAAGTCTCAAATTTTTGCATTTCTTCATGACTATGATCAAGTTCCTTCTGACTTATATATGTTTGAACAAAGCTAAAACTTCAGTCAACTTCAGTGGATGCATGACCATGATGTTTTATACGTATATCTAAATACATTCTGCCAGGGCTACTGTCAAACTATTCCCAATTGGCCATTTTGTACCTATCTCTTGACACCAACAGCGGGTACCCGGGTAGGGTTGGGTAATAGGTGTGTGGTAGGGCTTGGACGGTTCCAAATTTACTACCCGGGTATCCACCACCCTATTACCTGACCCTACCCGGGTACCGGCTGTAGATGTTTAGAGATAGGTACAAACTGTCCACTGAAGTTTAATGCATGAAGTTTTATCTTTATTCAAACATATAAAAGTCAGAAGGAATGGGTGCATTGTCAGAAAGCAATGGGATATCAGTGACTTATAGTGTAACCATTGAGTTTTAGATAATTTTTGTCATCAAACAATATAGATCACATGACTAACCACGGGTCCGGGTAGTCCTGTGGGTACCCGGGTCCTACTCAGGAACCACCCGAACCGGGTACCCGAGGTACCAATCCCAGCCCTAGTGTGTGGGTACCCTGGTAGTAAATTTGGACTCGTCCCAGCCCTAGTTTAGAACTATGTTGGGATATATATTGATTTGTCAACAGGATCAGTCATGTCTATAGTCACCTTTGTGTCAAACTAATAACCTGAAGAAAAAGTTTGACTTAAACAAGTGTTAGTCAAAAGAGTAAGTCAAACTTGTCATACAAGTGTTTGGTTATTCATTAAAGGATTATTATAGAAACAATGAATTTGTGTTTTGGCATCGAAGGCAATTTTGTATTTGTCATTTGGGACCCCAAAAGTTCAACAAAACTGGAAATTTGAACCTCCGATTGGACATCTCAGAAGTCCAATAATAATAAAATTAGCTAGGACAGAATTATCACCTTTACATATATAAGAGTTCAACACAGCAGTGGACCACTGTATATGGTTGGACTTATTGTTTTGAAGGTTTTTGTTTCAAAACACTGTGTTCGGAATGTTCAGTAAATTTTCAATAAAATTTGTTCAATAAATTGATCAAATGATCATTTATATGACAGATATTGATTCAAAGATTCTAAATTGCATCTCTATTCAGAATGAATTATTTCACAAGAACTTCCCACTGTATTCATTGTTTCCGACAGGAATGGCTCGCCATGGTTTTAATGAGCTGCTCAGTGAGAGGCTTGGAGAGATCAGACCAATCAAAGACTCCAGGAATAAATTGTGAGTTCTATGCCAAGAAGGCGGCATTGTTGGGAATAAAACAAGATCTTGGTGTCGGAGTCTCTGTTGACCTCATGATCCAACAAACAGATCCAGGATTTGACAATAAAGTGGTGCATGCTGTATTCCAAAGTCTTGAAGTGAACTAAACACAACTGATAGGTTGGCATGTTATTTGAAAGGGGAACTGCCAGTGATGTACATCATTATTGTTTATTTGTTTGTTTTCATGATGATAATTTGTATTTATACTGAAAATGAGGGTAGTGCTCGTTTCTGGAGCAGAACTCCAAAACCGTTGAATATTCTTTGATTAAACTTGCAATGCAGATCAGTCTAGTGGGGAACTGTGCCTTTTGATGATTTGGGATTTTGAAAAATACTGAACAGCAGTATTTTTTTTCTTCATTGGACTGAAGGTATCCAATGGCAATGAACCAATAGTGCTCTGCTCATTTCTGGAGCAGAAATCCAAAACTGTTGAATATTCTTTGATTAAACTTGCTATACAGATCAGTCTAGTGGGGAACTGTGCCTTTTGATGATTTGGGATTTTGAAAAATACTGAACAGCAGTATTTGTTTTCTTCACTGAACTGAAGGTATCCAATGGCAACGAACCAAAAGTAGGGTACAAGTAGCCACACTCCATTTCCAAATTGCAGCAGACCGGGATGATATGTCATGTTGTGATGACGCTTGTATAATAATGTCTGCTGTCAGGTGTCGGGAACAGCAGTACCCCCAGGACCTCCCCGAGGCCAGCGTGGTGATGTGTTTCTACAACGAAGCCTGGTCAACCCTCATCAGATCCATACAGACGATACTGACACGGACCCCCGCAGTGTACCTGCATGAGATCGTACTGGTGGATGACGCAAGCACACTTGGTTAGTCAGAGTTCTGTATTTTTTTTGCTTGTTTGTTCCTTTGTTGTTTATGCCCCACTCAGCAATATTCCAACAATATGACTGTCGTCTGTAAATAGTCGAGTCTGGACCAGACAATCCAGTGATTGGCATCATGAACATCGATCCACACAATTGGACCACCTGATCCCATTAGTCGCCTCTACGACAAGCACAGTCGCCTTGTACGGCAAGCATGAGTTGCTGAAGACCTATTCTCTACCTGGATTTTCACAGGTCTCTGTATTTTGTAATCTGATCGATGGTAAATGGATAAACATCTAATTAAATGAAGTGAGTGAGTTAGTTGGGTTTTATCAAATACTGTTGGAAAATCAGGCATATGTCCTATTGTTGACAAAGTTTACATAAGTGACAAGTCAAAACTAAAATTCAGAAATTAGGAACTGATTCATGTGATCAGAAAATGTGTAATTGGAAAAGGGAAACCAGTCGCAACAAACTTCTTGTATATGCTACGACTCAGTAAAACATGTGGGTTATTTTTATTTAGGTTCAGAACAAAGAATGCATGCAATATATTGTGGTACGTACCGCCATACATGGATGATTAATGCAATATGAAAGTCAGGTCAGAACCCATCACTACTATGTGTACATGGTCATCTTCCCGAGGAAAGGGAGTTAACTGACTATAAAAGTCCAGTTTCCACCCTTGCCGAACTAGGCTGGTATTATGGAGTTACATTTTGGCTGGACTAACAAGTTTATGCATAGTCCAATCAAAATCGCACACCGAAATCCGTTTCATAAACTGTCGTGCAGATTTCGGTCGATTGCAGGAATTGCAAACCATGTGCACCGCCAACTCGTCAGCAGATATTTTCCAAATCTTTTCAGGTTTTTAATCAAGGTGCTCACGTAGTATGATGCATTTGGCGATGTAAGACACGTTTTATCACAATATAGATCTTGATTATCGATCAGATTGTCCTGACTCGGCGCCACTATTTTGTGTGAAGCAAACACAAGTGGTACGAGAGATGGAATCTGATTGGTCCATAGGAGAGAATTAAAAGGACATAACTGGTAATAGCCACTGGTGGCGCTACGATCGAGCCCAGTAATTCCAGCCTAGTTCGGCAAGGATGGAAACTGGACTTTTAAAGTCAGTTAACTCTCTTGCCTCGGGAAGATGGTACATGGTGTGAAGAATGATACGTCTGTTGCAGACCACCTCAAGGCTCGTCTGTCCAAGTATATACACGGTCTGTCGAAGGTGAAACTTGTGCGCAGTACAGAGAGGCTGGGACTGATTCGAGCCAGAATACTGGGGGCAAGACAAGCCACTGGACAGGTGGGACAATTCAGTGGAAAAGGGAAACTTTAGAACATTTAAAATCTGTTAGAGTTAGGGGAATAAAAAATAGAATTATTTGTAAGATGTTAAATGAACATGAACATACAGAAGACCCATGAAACTAGAATAGATTCTGGCAATGTCTTGCATCAGTCAGTGTTTTTATACTCTGTAGGAGGACTGGCAGGCCCAGTCATCTATTCTCTGTTGTGTCCTTCATGAATTGGTCGTGCAATGATCTTTGGTTTGAATCCCAGGTTCCCATATTTTGCTGTCTCACGTTGATGTAGATCAGCATACTGCTGAATATGGCATTTCACTCACTCTCACTCACTCACTCACTCACTCACTCACTCACTCACCCACCCACCCACTCACACACTCACTCACTCTCTCACTCACTGTAGAAAGGTTGAAATGACTTTCATAAAAATAACCTGAATATTTAAAAAAAATGTTTCTTTACTTTATGTAAAGCAGAGTAAAGTTATTTTTCGTTGGAATTTGAAACTTCTTCCAAAATGTTGTGGTACCCCACCAATGGACTTAACAGGTATCCATGAGAGAAATCAAACCCAGGACCTTGGCATGACAAGCAAACTCTTTAATCACTAGACTACCTCACTGCCCCCTAAAAACAATAATGAAATAAAGCCATGGTTTATGGTGACTAACAGCTATCAGTGTTCAAATTTGTGTGGGTCCTAAACTAACATTTAATCTCTGAAATCTTATATTACACAATATCCTTCTTGACTCTAAAAACTTAAAAAAAGAATTCCCTATGCTGATTGTGGAATAGAGCTCACAGTAAGCTGCAGTTTTTTTTAATTGAGGCCTGAAGACTTTAGTCAGGGCCTGCAGCTTCTATATTCTATGGGTCCTGATGTCTGTCTGGCATGTGTTTTACTGTCAAACACTGACAGCAATATATATATATATATTAAAACAAAATGGAATTATTGAAACAACACAGTCAAGTATGTTTATAACAAACGCTTATAACGAACTGATGGATAAAACAAACTGGTCTTTTTGGTCCCGGCCATATGCTGTATAAACGTTGCATATATGCTTATAACGAACTGATGGATATAACAAACTGGTCTTTTTGGTCCCGGCCATATGCTGTATAAACGTTGCATATATGCTTATAATGAACTGATGGATATAACAAACTGGTCTTTTTGGTCCCGGCCATATGCTGTATAAACGTTGCATATATGCTTATAATGAACTGATGGATATAACAAACTGGTCTTTTTGGTCCCGGCCATATGCTGTATATATGTTGCATATATGCTTGTAACGAACTGATGGATATAACAAACTGGTCTTTTTGGTCCCGGCCATATGCTGTATAAACGTTGCATATATGCTTATAACGAACTGATGGATATAACAAACTGGTCTTTTTGGTCCCGGCCATATGCTGTATATATGTTGCATATATGCTTGTAACGAACTGATGGATATAACAAACTGGTCTTTTTGGTCCCGGCCATATGCTGTATATATGTTGCATATATGCTTATAATGAACTGATGGATATAACAAACTGGTCTTTTTGGTCCCGGCCATATGCTGTATAAACGTTGCATATATGCTTATAATGAACTGATGGATATAACAAACTGGTCTTTTTGGTCCCGGCCATATGCTGTATATATGTTGCATATATGCTTGTAACGAACTGATGGATATAACAAACTGGTCTTTTTGGTCCCGGCCATATGCTGTATAAACGTTGCATATATGCTTATAATGAACTGATGGATATAACAAACTGGTCTTTTTGGTCCCGGCCATATGCTGTATATATGTTGCATATATGCTTATAATGAACTGATGGATATAACAAACTGGTCTTTTTGGTCCCGGCCATATGCTGTATATATGTTGCATATATGCTTATAACGAACTGATGGATATAACAAACTGGTGTTTTTGGTCCCGGCCATATGCTGTATATACGTTGCATATATGCTTATAATGAACTGATGGATATAACAAACTGGTCTTTTTGGTCCCGGCCATATGCTGTATAAACGTTGCATATATGCTTATAATGAACTGATGGATATAACAAACTGGTCTTTTTGGTCCCGGCCATATGCTGTATAAACGTTGCATATATGCTTATAATGAACTGATGGATATAACAAACTGGTCTTTTTGGTCCCGGCCATATGCTGTATATATGTTGCATATATGCTTATAATGAACTGATGGATATAACAAACTGGTCTTTTTGGTCCCGGCCATATGCTGTATATATGTTGCATATATGCTTATAATGAACTGATGGATATAACAAACTGGTCTTTTTGGTCCTGGCCATATGCTGTATATACGTTGCATATATGCTTATAATGAACTGATGGATATAACAAACTGGTCTTTTTGGTCCCGGCCATATGCTGTATATATGTTGCATATATGCTTATAATGAACTGATGGATATAACAAACTGGTCTTTTTGGTCCTGGCCATATGCTGTATATACGTTGCATATATGCTTGTAACGAACTGATGGATATAACAAACTGGTCTTTTTGGTCCTGGCCATATGCTGTATATACGTTGCATATATGCTTATAATGAACTGATGGATATAACAAACTGGTCTTTTTGGTCCCGGCCATATGCTGTATAAACGTTGCATATATGCTTATAATGAACTGATGGATATAACAAACTGGTCTTTTTGGTCCCGGCCATATGCTGTATATATGTTGCATATATGCTTATAATGAACTGATGGATATAACAAACTGGTCTTTTTGGTCCCGGCCATATGCTGTATATATGTTGCATATATGCTTATAATGAACTGATGGATATAACAAACTGGTCTTTTTGGTCCTGGCCATATGCTGTATATACGTTGCATATATGCTTATAATGAACTGATGGATATAACAAACTGGTCTTTTTGGTCCCGGCCATATGCTGTATATATGTTGCATATATGCTTATAATGAACTGATGGATATAACAAACTGGTCTTTTTGGTCCTGGCCATATGCTGTATATACGTTGCATATATGCTTATAATGAACTGATGGATATAACAAACTGGTCTTTTTGGTCCCGGCCATATGCTATATATATTCTGCATATATGCTTATAACGAACTGATGGATATAACAAACTGGTCTTTTTGGTCCTGGCCATATGCTGTATATACGTTGCATATATGCTTATAACGAACTGATGGATATAACAAACTGGTCTTTTTGGTCCCGGCCATATGCTGTATAAACGTTGCATATATGCTTATAATGAACTGATGGATATAACAAACTGGTCTTTTTGGTCCCGGCCATATGCTGTATATACGTTGCATATATGCTTATAACGAACTGATGGATATAACAAACTGGTCTTTTTGGTCCTGGCAATATGCTGTATATACGTTGCATATATGCTTATAACGAACTGATGGATACAACAAACTGGTCTTTTGGTCCCGGCCATATGCTGTATAAACGTTGCATATATGCTTATGATGAACAATGGTTATAATGAATTAAAATAAGCCGTCCCTTGTAGTTCGTTACAACTGTAGTTTACAGTACTTTGAAAAAAAAATTTCTTAACATGCTCAACAATAAGACTTGACAACCAGTTGGACACAACTGAGAATCAGAGTTCATCACAATAGTGTTCAACTGTATGTACGGAAGCTTGAAGGATGACTCTATGTGTTCGGAGTTTAATATGCATTAGTGAGTGAGTTGGGTTTAACACTGCTATGGACAGAATTCATGTTATATAACAGCATGTTGGGTTAATCATGTTAATGTAGGCGGAAAACCCTAAGTGATGCAGGTCTGAGATGTTTACCATATGGTGAAATCCTCGAGCACGGGTACTTTGCTAACAAACCTAGAAACATCATCAGGATGAAATGGGACACAACTCTTCACAGCAAATTACGGTTCCTTAGACAACTAGTCAACCTGTGCCTCCTTAACATGCAATACCGTATTCGATGTAATAATCGCCTAGGGCGCTCTCAAAATTACAGGGGCGGTCGGGTAGCCTAGTGGTTAAAGCGTTCGCTCGTCACGCCGAAGACCCGGGTTCGATTCCCGACATGGGTACAATGTGTGAAGCCCATTTCTGGTGTCCCCCGCCGTGATATTGCTGGAATATTGCTAAAAGCGGCGTAAAACCATACTCACTCACTCACTCACTCAAAATTACAAATAAGGGGCTCTTATTAGAATATAATTTTGGTGACAAAAAAAACCAGAGTTGAAAGATCGTAAATGTCGTGGTTTATGCTGACACCCTGAAATGATACACGAGACCGCCTCCGTGGTCTAGTGGTAGAGCGTCCGCCCGGAGAGCGGAAGGTTCGGGGTTCGATCCCCGGCCGCGTCATACCAAAAGACGTTAAAAGATGGTACTTGTTGTTACCCTGTCTGGCGCCTCGGCATTGAGGGTCTAAAACAAGGACTGGTCGGCTCGGAGTCAGTATACTGTGTCTGAGTGGGGTATTCATGTTAAACTGCGGCATGGTATCTCGGTGGGCTAGCACTATAAATCGGCATCAGTCCGGACTAGTACAAGCAGCCACACAAACACACACACGTACATGCACGTCGCTATATAAGTGCAATAATCTTGGACGCGACGTTAAACCCAATTTCACCTCACCTTATTATACACGACAGATATATTTTCCAGAATTTAATTGCCCATAATTAAGGGTGCATATAATACACGAGTGCGTATTATACACGAGTAAATAAGTATTGTGTACATTGATCAATCGGAAGGGGTGCTAATTGGGATTGTTCACTAGCCAATGTATTAGCAAATATCGCTGTGGGCACTTACTAGAGCGGGGCGCTTATTATGTCGAATATGGTATCACATGTCTGAGGAAATGCAGATTCAGTACACTGATGGTTTGTTTATTAGGTCCTAGTGTTTCTTGACAGCCACATTGAAGTGAACAGGCAGTGGTTGGCGCCGCTTCTCTCCCGGATCAAGGCACAGCGGACTACGGTGGTGGTGCCGGTCGTGGACATGATCGACTCGGAGACCTTCATGTACCGATCGTCTCCCCTTGTCCGTGGAGGATTCACATGGTCCCTGCTCCACAGATGGGACGGACTGCCCCCGAGATACCAGAACAGTATTGATCAACTTATTGATCCCATTGAGTGAGTATTAGGTTGTGAAAAAATGTCTCTCACCAACATGTGGGTCGTAAAAAACATGGGCAGTGGGGTATTGGTTAGAGCGTTTACTTGTCATGCTGATGGCCCAGGTTTGATTCCACACATGATTTCATACTTTTATTGACCAAGTTTGTTATACATGTACCTGTTTATTCACCTGAAGTCTTTGAAGGGATACGATAACGCTCATCAATTATTTGGACCCCGAAGGTAGCGTTGTTTGTTTTTTAAAATGTCCGGACAGAAAAATTTAAATGTCCGGTAAGCAATATTTTAAACCGGACATTTGAGATTCCCAATCGTACTTGTCTGGCGCATATCACCGTTTCCGGACCCCTGGTGTATACAGTACCACAAAGTATTGATGAAGATAACCAAGTGTGATGTATGTTGCCTTCCAGGACACCAACTATGCCGGGTGGATTGTTTGCCATGGACCGATCTTACTTTTACGAGCTCGGAGAGTATGATTCTCAGATGGATGTTTGGGGAGGCGAAAATATTGAAATATCTTTCCGGGTAAGAAACATATATCATAGTGTCATCTTTGATTGAAGTTTGTGATGTATATTTTATACATTTGTACAAAGTATTTAAATGTCTTCAGCTTGTTAAAATGTTGTTGTATAAAGTCTTCGAAGCCTTCACAACTTATAATTGTAATTTCTTGAAATTACAGTGTCTAGTTTTGCATCAACTTGAACAAGGTTCAAAGGTTTTAGATTCACACACGTTTAGCTCTGTCTTACCAGGAGTAAAACTAGACCTGATAATAGGGTGATATGCTACCGCAAGAGACGAGTGCCGCAAGATTCCTTAAAGTATGATGTCCATGCATAATGTCCCCAAGTCTGCAGCAAGTTCCACAATCTGAATAAAATCAGATCTAAGTTCTCGCTGCCTATAAACAAAGATCTGAGGACATCCCATTAAGGGACCGACCTTGCGCGAACTTTGACCGACCAATGGAGCGACCAATCAGAAGGCAGCTTTCTCGTGCTTTACAGCACTTATTTCAAATTGGCTACAACGCTTCCAAAAACATATTTTGACAAATTCTTGATTACAAATTTGAAACCTGAACAAAAGAACATTCTGGAATTGCTAATAGATGGTCTAGATTGTATGGATTAAGTCGTTAAACCCGTAACTATCGTTCGGAATACCCCGTGTTGAAGTTTTCGAGGATGCATGATTAGAAATCACTTTCCGACTGTTACTTTCATGATCTGGTAAACGACGCTCTGATTGGTCGGTTGAACGGTTGTTCTGACGTGACCCCCTACTGGGATGTCCTAAGATCTTTGTTTAGCGATAGCGAGAACTAAGATTTGATTTTAATTAGATTGCAAGTTCCAATGAACATACCTAAATTGAAATTACCAATTTCCCAAATTTTAACTAATTTTATGGCTTCGTAGAAGTGACTTGTATTTCAATGACCAATTTCATAAAAATAAAGGCACTTGGTTTGGGATCCAGGATAAATACCTGACTGTATTGTATCTAGGTTGAAGGGGACATTGTGCAGGGTCGTCTTACGTTAAGAAATGTTGCGGCACTAGTCTCTCTTTCACTTTGGGGGGGGGAATGGGTGGCCCCGTCGTCTAAGGCGCCGCGATTCGCTATGCAGAGTTGCATCCATTGGGCACGCCAGAAACCTATGATTGTGGGTTCGAATCCTGGTTTGCCCTGATTATGTTTCTAGGTTTGTCAGCACCATACCCGTGCTCGTGGGTTTCACCGAAGTGGTAAACGTCTGAGACCTGCATCCCTTCGGGCTTTCCTCCCACATTAAGCTGACACGCCGCGATATAACTAATACTGTTAAAAGCGCGTTAAAACCAACTCACTCGCTCATTCACTTTTGACGTTTGTAGGAAAATAATATTGTGACCTTTACTTCAAGACAAGTGTTCAAAAAACACAGGTCGTTATTTTTATTTAAAAGGATTGAGTGGCTGTTAACTGTGTTAACGGGATAACAGGAGCTCTGGCATGAAGACTAAAAACTCGTGGTGGTGTTCCGACAGTGTATTTTCCTGTCTGATGACCTCACATGACCTCTGTATTACTGCACCTCTAGATCTGGCAGTGTGGGGGTCGGATGGAAATAGTCCCCTGTTCTCGAGTGGGTCATGTATTCCGACACTTCCGACCATATGGTTCGACCAATGGAGTCGATACAACTACACGAAACTCACTAAGGGTGGCTCTGGTCTGGATGGACAAGTATAAGGTAATCTGAATCAGGGCTAGTCTGTATGACAGTAGGGCCCTAAATAAGCCCTCTGATCAATGATTGTGTTTTCTTCAGAAGAATATAACTCTTTCAACTATCTGCTGTGTCCATGGATCTGTAGTTATTTTTGGACAATTTTACATATTTATTAAACGACACCACAACAAGGACACAGTATATCCTTTTGTATTCTTTTTCTTTGAAAATAATACAAAAAAATTCTAAGTAGATTTTGCTAAGTATATTTTTGTAAAACTTGCTAATTCCCTTTTTTCCTAAAAATCAGATTTTCATGTAATTTTACATGCTGCATGCTTGAGAGGGAATATCGGTACATGTCATCCTATCCCATATATTGATGCTCATGATGTTAATCACTTGATCATCATGACTATTTACCGACTACTGTCATACGGCTGGAAAACAGCGTTATACAACAAACAAGTCGTAACATCCAATTCTAAAGTTTTGTGCTTGAACTGTTTTATTGTAATGGTTTTATGCCAGATATATCTGTCTGTCATTTCACATCAGTAATTGAGTGACATTGATGTACAATATTGATGTACAATTTGTAGTCAACCTTTTCTCTTAAAGCTCTGCCATCTACACCCAAACGGAAGTGCCACCGAATGAATATTTGTGTTCTTCATGGGTTTTCTATTGTTAGAATTGAATTTTCTGAATCGAAGTGGTAAAGAAATGGAACTGAATTGGTTTAGAAAACTGCCTGCCTCATGAACCCACGAATCCTTCATTTACATAGGCTGGTCAACGTCATCTTCCCTGGCAAGGGAGATAACTGACTGTTAAAGTACTGTTTCCACCCTTGCCGAGCTAGGCTGGAATTTCTAGGCTCGATTGTAGCGCCACCAGTGCCTATTACGAGTTATGTCCCTTCTATATCTCTCCTATTGACTAATCAGATTCCACCTCTCATATCACTTGCATTTGCTCCAAACAAATGGCGCCCAGTCAAGACGATCGTATCGATAATTAAGATCTTTATTGTAATAAAATGAGTCTTACTTCGCAAAGTGCATCAAATCATGTGAGCACCTTGATAAAAAACATGAAAAGATTTGGAAAATATCTTTTGTCACGGAATTGGTGGTACACATGCTTTGAAAATCCTGCAATCAACAGAAATATGTACGGCAGTTTTTGAACCGTATGTCGATTTTGTTACACAATTTTGATTGGTCTATGCATAGACTTGTTGGTCCAGCCAAAATATAACTCATAATTCCAGCCTTGTTGGCCAAGGGTGGATACTGGACTTTTATAGTCAAACTCCCTTGCCTCAGGAAGATGGGTCAAAAATCACTATGGGTTCCCCTGATGGTACCTTCTGTGTAGGCGTCGTCAGATTTGTGGGTGGAAAGGTAACGTGTCGGTGTAAATGATCTGATTTAACCAAGGATTTACTGTTATTTTCTGTCTGTGACAGGAATATTTCTATGACCTGAAGCCCCTGGCCCGGGATATTGACCCAGGGGACATCACAGAGAGGGTGGAGCTCAGGGAGCGGCTCGGGTGTCGGAGCTTCAGGTGGTACCTGGACAACGTGTATCCAGAACAGGTGGGTAGATCTACCTGGATAGCAGGCACACAGAACAGACGGGAAGATCTACCTAAATAACAGGTACACTGAACAGGTGTGTAGATCCACCTGGATAACATGCACACAGAACAGGTGGGTAGATCTACCTGGATAACAGACACACAGAACAGGTTGGTAGATCTACCTAGATAACAGGCACACAGAACAGGTGGGTAGATCTACCTTGATAACAGGCACACAGAACAGGTGGGTAGATGTACCTGGATAACAGGTACACTGAACAGGTGGGTAGATCTACCTTGATAACATGTACACAGAACAGGTGGTTAGATCTACCTGGATAACAGGCTCACAGAACTGGTGGGTAGATCTACCTGGAGAACAGGCACACAGGACAGGTGGGTAGATCTACGTGGATAACAGGCACACAGGACAGGTGGGTAGATCTACCTGGATAACAGGCACACAGAACAGGTGGGTAGATCTACCTGGAGAACAGGTGGGTAGATCTACGTGGATAACAGGCTCACAGGACAGGTGGGTAGATCTACCTGGAGAACAGGTGGGTAGATCTACGTGGATAACAGGCTCACAGGACAGGTTTGTAGATCTACCTGGAGAACAGGTACACAGAACAGGTGGGCAGATCTACCTGGATAACAGGCACACAGAACAGGTGGGTAGATCTACCTGGATAACAGGCACACAGAACAGGTGGGTAGATCTACCTGGATAACAGGCACACAGAACAGGTGGGTAGATCTACCTGGATAACAGGCACTCAGAACAGGTTGGTAGATCTACCTTGATAACATGTACACAGAACAGGTTGGTGGATCTACCTTGATAACATGTACACAGAACAGGTGGGTAGATCTACCTGGATAACAGACACACAGAACAGGTGGGTAGATCTACCTGGATAACAGGCACACAGAACAGGTGGGTAGATCTACCTGGATAACAGGCACACAGAACAGGTGGGTAGATCTACCTGGATAACAGGCACACAGAACAGGTGGGTAGATCTACCTGGATAACAGGCACACAGAACAGGTGGGTAGATCTACCTGGAGAACAGGTACACAGAACAGGTGGGTATATCTACTTACATAACAGGCACACAGAACAGGTGGGTAGATCTACCTTGATAACAGGCACACAGAACAGGTGGGTAGATCTACCTGGATAACAGGCACTCAGAACAGGTTGGTAGATCTACCTTGATAACATGTACACAGAACAGGTTGGTGGATCTACCTGGATAACAGGTACACAGAACAGGTGGGTAGATTTACCTTGATAACAGCCACACAGAACAGGTGGGTAGATCTACCTGGATAACAGGCACACAGAACAGGTGGGTAGATCTACCTGGATAACAGGTAACAGCTGTGTAAATGTACATGAATAACATCCATCCAATAGATACAAAAGAACAGGTTTATTTGTTTGTTTAATGCCATAATTTGTAAATGAAGTACATATACCGTATTCGACGTAATAAGTGACCCACTCTAATAAGCACACACAGTGACATTTGCTGAGATATTGGCTAGTGAACAATCCCAATTAGCACCCCTTCCGATTGATCAATGTACACAAGACTTATTTATTCGCATATAATACTCACTCTTGTGTTATATGCACCCTTAATTATGGGCAATTAAATTCTTGAAAAATTCTGTCGTACATAAACATTTCAGCATAAACCACAAATTTTATCTTTCAACTCTGTTTTTTTCCACCAAAATAATACTCCCACTGAGATCCCACTTAGTTGATTGCATGTCATCAGTGTACCGTGACAATGTGGAATGTCTGGTCGTTTGTTTATTTAATGGTCCCGATAATTTACTGACTGCCATCATGTAGCAGAAATACTGCTGAGTACGGCATTAAACAACAAACAAAACAAACAAAGAATACCTCTGAAAGTAAGAATATTAAAACATCAATTCCCAAGTTTGGACAAAAAATGTATGTTTTTCATAATTCTCCCCCAAGAGGCATTTAATTAGAGATCCGAGATAAATCCTAAGGACTCGGGGGACCCTACAGTTCCCCTTGACTGTTGTACAAGTTCTGTGCTCTGCTTGCAGGTGGTTCCCGGACAAGCAGCCAAATATCCAGGTATGCTTGGAACACCCGTCGACATGACCGCTGCCAAACCTCGAGAGCTGCAGAGAGGCCAGGTGAGTACAGGTAGTTGGTTTACATAAGGCCAGAATCAAGTAAATAGTAGATTTTCATCCCAGCCTGCCTCACTAAAAAAACACAGCCTCTCCAAGTATCTTCAGAAAAGAAAATCGCAGTTTTATATCCTTCTTTCTTTACTTGATGAAAAATTCCAGATATCATGATACAGACATCCATCAACACTTCATGTACACAGATGCCTTGAACAGTTCATTTGAAAAATGTTTTTTGGAAAAATATTATGAAAATCTATTAATTCATATTATGGCTTTAACCTAGAGAGGTACTTGGTGTTATTCTTCGGAAAGACGTTGGATACAACCGGTGTTATGTTGTTAAAAGTTGTTGTTATTCCTAGTCAGTCACCCCACATGGCTTCAGTTTAGTTTTACTTCAGAGCAAAATAATTAGTGGTGATCCGATCACTTGACTATGCTTGTGGTAGGAGGCGACTAACGGGATCGGAGGGTCAGGCTCGGTGACTTGGTTGATGCATGTAATCGTATCCCATTTGTGTGGATCGATGCTCATGATGTCAATCACTGGATTGTCTGGTCCAGACTCGATTATTTACGGACCGCTGTCATATAGTTGGAATATTGCTGAGTGTGGCGTTAAACAACAAGCAAACAAAAACTTGAAACAGTCGAAGATGGAGCAGCAGACCCAAGCAACCAAGTTGTCAAACACATTTTTCCATAATCAAGCACAAACGATTATTACCCTCTCTCAACCTAGAGGTTTTTTCACTACTTACTACATAGCGCTTGAAGAAAAAAGTGACGCCATGGTCTATTCTAAAATATAAAGTACTGAAGTAGGTATTTGTGTTTGTTTTCGTTATATTTGATCTAGTTTTACTGAACTTAACTTTGAAAAAAGCAAAATGACTAACTGATTTAATTTGATTATCAATCAATAGGGATGATTCAGCCATCCCACTGTAGTATTTTACAACCAACTCCGAAACTAAAATAATGCAAATTTGACATCCGAGTAACACAATATTTCTCCCCAAATGTAAATTATTGTCTCTACTGCATAAATGCTTCAAATGTCAGTTGTCTGTTTGACCTTACTGTGACCATGACCCCTGTTCAGTTGAAGCACCTGACCTCTGACCTCTGTGTGACCCCTGCACAGGAAGGAGGGAAGAAGAGATTCCTTTCACTGCAGAAATGTCACCCTCGGCCAGAACAAGCTCAGCAGGTTTGTAGAAGTTGTGAACTCAGTGGACACAATTAAACATACTTTAGACCTACTCTGCCCCGAAAGATCATCTACAAAGTCTAACCACCATCTCATGACCTCACATATGTCCGTCTCCAGGGGAGGGTCACCCAAACATATGTCCGTCTCCAGGGGAGGTCACCCAAACATATGTCCGTCTCCAGGGGAGGTCACCCAAACATTTGTCCGTCTCCAAGGGAGAGTCATCCAAACATATGTCCGTCTCCAGGGGAGGGTCACCCAAACATAAGTCCGTCTCCAGGGGAGAGTCATCCAAACATATGTCTGTCTCCAGGGGAGGGTCACCAAAACATATGTCCGTCTCCAGGGGAGGGTCACCCAAACATATGTCCGTCTCCAGGGGAGGGTTCATGTTCTGGGTGGTGTGTGAATGTTGAGAGTGAGGACGTTTCATTATTTGTCTGGAATGACCTCTCCCAAAATGGTTTAAATACCACGTGTTCTGTGTAACTTGAGTTCTTCAGTATTGCCAGTCACTGGTCCTGTCAAGGTTTCACCAGTCAAACTTTTAAACATGCTAATTGCTGAATAAAAAATAAGAAAAAGGCTCATTGAGACATTGCTCTTGTCATTACTGGCGACACTGGCAAAACTTCTCAGTTGTTATAAGCATGCATACTTCAACTATATTATGTTGGTTCCAGGTCTGGAATTCCCTGTCCAAGATATATTTTACCTTTAGTCACAAACCTATAATTACCAGTAAATGAAAAGCTGTCATCTTTGATTATCCAGTGTGTTCTGTCCTTTCTATACTGCTGGGCAAAAAAAGTGTACAACCATGTTTGATGATGACTAAAAATGAAATAAACCAGAAATGTTTATTTGATGGTGATGTATTTGATAAGGGTATTTTGGACCTGCAGTGTTTCGGCAACTGCTTTCAGCCTAATAACGTTTTGATAATGTTTCATACTTTTTAAGTCACATCCAATTTTCAAGCATATACTTTCTTTTGCCGACAGTTTATCATGATTACCCTGTACAATTCATAACTTAAGCTTCACTTTGAGTCTGGATTTGAAATAGGTGATGATAAAAATAGACATCTAATCACATTACACTCATTTGTAAGAAACATTCTGTCAGAAAAATTATATCAAAAGTGACATCACTTCCTTAACGAAACTAAAGCGGCAAATGTGTCTTCAACAAATACAACTTCAGTCCTTAAATAGAGATATGATAACCCGGATAATTAAGTATGAGGACCTTTTTATTTTTTTTAAAGATCTGGCAAGAAATGGCTGATTACCAGCTTCTGGTCATGTCTACACGCCTTTGCCTGGAGAGCTCCCAGAAAAGGGGAGATAACCTCGCTCAACCGATGGCTATGAAGTGTCACAAATCTGGGGCAGCGCAGGTGTGGATCTGGTTGAATGAGGTTTGTAGTCACTATCTTGGCACCATGCTAGTTGAATATAAATGTTGACACCCACTTATGTTAATTGGATGTTCGACAAATGAGCCATTTTCACTAACTTTAGCCATACTTGTGTACCTGATGATGTCAGAAGTCTAAAATTTGCTAGTGTAAGAAAGAAATCTAGTCAGAAATTAGATTTTCCAAAATGTTAAAATTTGACATTTTCTGTTGGTCGAAAAGGGTTTTTATCCTGCGTTCAATTTTGTAAAAATCTACATCAATGCTAGCCAAGCCTAGAAAAAAAAACATACACTTGGAGAACTATGTTATGATTGACTGAGATATATCAGAAGCTTTGTCTTGAAGAATCATAAATATACACTTCTGTCAGGACATTTTGAGAACTTTGCTATATTATCAAATTAATAATTCCCTCAGTTGATCTGACAGGAGTGTTGTGTATTTCAGGGGGAGGTAACTCAGCTGTACAACCCTGCCAGTGGAAAGTGCCTGTCGGGAGAGGGGCAGTCAGGCTCGAACCTCCAGCTCAATATCTGTAACAATGTATCGGATCAACACTTTATTCTCGACAGCTCATGATTGTTTAAGATTCTTCAATCTTCTTATCATATACCTACATCTGTCGCATATGTGCTCATCGCTCTTGAAAACAACATGAAGGCGATCACCATTATGGGATAAATGTATAAACACAATACAATAAATTGATCCTGCTTCTCAATGCGAAGTAGTCACAGATTCTGGAAACAGTTACGAGCTACAAAGAATTACACATTATCTGTCCCGATATTATATATATGTAGTCATGCTATTAAGAAATAAGACGTGTTAAGGCATTATCTGTGGTCTAATAGGTGACGATTAGGCCTAAAAGATATAAAGGATATTTTTTTTCTATTCTGCTATTGCCTGTATTGTTTTATGATTGATTTTATAAATTTAAATTTTTAAGTTATTTCAAATGACCCCGCTGTAGCCTGAGATCACCATTATGGGTTTCAGATTTGCATCAACATGATAAATGCCCAGACACATCTTATTTCTTAATATTATGACTGCATATATATAATATCGGGACAGATAATGTGTAATTCTTCGTAGGTCCTAACTGTTTCCCAGAATCTGTGACTATTTCGTATTGAGAAGCAGGATCAGTTTATTGTATTGTGATTATACATTATCTGTGGTCTATTAGGTGACGATTAGGCCCCGAATCAAGAATATTTTTTTCAATTCTGCTATTGCTTGTATTGTTTTATGATTGAATTTATAAATTTAAATTTTTAAGTTATTTCAAATGTATTAATGCCGACCCCACTGTAGCTTGGACACAGTGACCTGTGTGCCGTTGAGATAACTCTGCAGTTGCACATGCTGTCATCAATGGAGGGGGTTTACGTGACAATGTACAGTACTATTTGTTGTCTATTGGTGATGAGCAGCGCCTTTGATCCCGCCTCCTGCTATGATAGAATACTAAATATTACCCTCAAATCTGAAGGGCGGGCGGGTAGCTAGTGGTTAAAGTGTTCGCTTGTCACACCGAAGACCCAGGTTCGATTCTCCACTTGGGTACAATGTGCGAAGCCCATTTCTGGTGTCCCTCACCGTGATATTGTTGGAATATTGCTAAAAGCGGCGTAAAAACGTACTCATTCACTCACACAAATCTGAAAACAAATAAGCTTCAATTCCCAATTCTCCTTACTTCTGTACATGTTTAAGCGTTACTGTTAATCAATGGGCATTAGTGTGATGTGTTTACTGGTGGTATGCATGTCTGTCTGTTATTACTGCCATTAACCCCAGCTGAGTACTAGAAGCAGAGCCACGTGGGTCCCACTGCACAAGCCAGCTTTGGGTCATGACGACTGTAGGTGTTGTAGGTAAGGTGAAATGGGGTTTAATGTCGCGTCCAAGATTATTGCACTTATATAGCGACGAGCATGCATGTGTGTGTGTGTGTAGCTTCTTGTACTAGTCCGGACTGATGGCGAGTTATACTGCTAGCCCACTGAGATACCATGCCGCAGTTTCACATGAATACCCCACTCTGACACAGTATACCGACTCCAAGCCAACCAGTCATTGTTTTAGCTCCTTAATGGCGAGCACCAGACAGAGTAACAACAAGTACCATCTTTTAACGTCTTTTTGGTATGGGATCGAACCCCGGACCTTCTGCTCTCAGGGCGGACGCTCTACCACTAGACCACAGAGGCGGTCTGACTACTGTGTTAACGAATCAGTGTTAACGAATGAAACAGTCATTGTCCATGTACAAGATGCCATTGTACCTAAACGTGATCCAGTACCCTTTGTTTGTTGTCATACAAGATGCTTTAAATGCAATCTCATTAAAATCATATCTTAGTTCTCGCCACCGCTAAACTAAGATCTGAGGACATCCCATAACGGGTCACGTCAAACCTTGTGCGAACTTTGACCGACCAATGGAATGACCAATCAGGAGGCAGCTTTCTCGTGCTTTACGGCACTAATTTCAAATTGACGACTACGCTTTGAAACATTTTGACAAATTCTCAATTACAAATTTGAAACCTGAACAAAAAAACATTCTGCAATGGCTCATAGATGGTCCAGATTGTAAAGATTCAGTCGTTTAACCCGTCACTATCGTTCAGAATACCCCATGTTAAAGTTTTCGAGGCTGCATGATTAGAAATCACATTCCAACTGTCACATTCATAATCTGGTAAGCGACGCTCTGATTTGTCGGAAGAAAGGTCGTTCTGACGTGACCCCTAATGGGATGTCTTCAGATCTTTGTTTAGCAGTAGCGAAAACTAAGGTCTGATTTTAATGAGATTGCTTTAAATGGGGACTGGGCTGGTGATGGTTTATTTATAATAATATAATGGTGGTTATAATAAAACAAACTGCTGTTTGTTCTGTTTTGTTTTTGGGTGATGGGGTGGGGAACAAGAAAGGTTTCTTGACAACACTAGTCATTGACGTCTTTCGGGGTTGAAGAGGCCTGGATTTGTTTGTGTTTGTGTCTTCCATGAACCCTACAAATCATGTATTGTATGTTTTTGTCATGAACCCTATAAGTCATGTATTGTATGTTTTTGTCATGAACCCTATAAGTCATGTATTGTATGTTTTTGTCATGAACCCTATAAGTCATGTATTGTATGTTTTTGTCATGAACCCTATAAGTCATGTATTGTATGTTTTTGTCATGAACCCTATAAGTCATGTATTGTATGTTTTTGTCATGAACCCTGTAAGTCATGTATTGTATGTTTTTGTCATGAACCCTATAAGTCATGTATTGTATGTTTTTGTCATGAACCCTGTAAGTCATGTATTGTATGTTTTTGTCATGAGCCCTATAAGTCATGTATTGTATGTTTTTGTCATGAGCCCTATAAGTCATGTATTGTATGTTTTTGTCATGAGCCCTATAAGTCATGTATTGTATGTTTTTGTCATGAACCCTATAAGTCATGTATTGTATGTTTTTGTCATGAACCCTATAAGTCATGTATTGTATGTTTTTGTCATGAACCCTATAAGTCATGTATTGTATGTTTTTGTCATGAGCCCTATAAGTCATGTATTGTATGTTTTTGTCAGTCTACTTAATTCTTGTATCATCCAGTTCTCATTGTCTCTCAGCAAATTAGAGACACATTTAAACCTGAATAGGATCTTATTGCAACTTAATATGTATCTCAATATGTATCAAATGACAATTCAAGTATCGCAATTTGTATCTTATTGCAACTCAACTATTGTGATATATTGCAACTCAAGTATCGTGATATATTGCAACTCAAGTATCATGATATATTGCAACTCAAGTAACATGATACCCCTGGCATATTGCAACTCAAGTATCATGATATATTGCAACTCAAGTATTGTGATATACTGTATTGCAACTCAAGTATCATGTTTTGTATCATATTGCAACTCAATTATCACAATATGTATCTTTTTGCTACTCAAGTATCATGTTATGTATCATATTGCAACTCAAGCATCGCGATTAGTATCCATACATGAGGTAGGTGTATTGCGAAAGCCCTAATAAAAACGTAGGTTCATGGACCCTACTTCCTGTATTGTTTGTCATTATATAGATGGTTTGGGGGCCTAGTGATCTAATGCAAAGCAATTCACTGTGCATGTCAGGATCTCCAGATCCAGGGTTTGAATCCCTGGATTTGAATAAGTCCCCAGTAACTATGTTTGTGATTAGAAATTGGAGGATCAATAAAGTAGATACAATGTTTGACCTGTCTGACCTGTGCCATGGATCATTGCTCATACCGTCAACCATGTTCCCAAGGCAAGAGAGTTTATTGACTATAAAAGTCCAGTTTCCACCCTTGCCAAACTAGGCTGGTATTATAGAGTTACATTTTGGCTGGACTAACGAGTCTATGCATAGTCCAATCAAAATCGCGCAATGGAATCGCAATCCGGTTCGTAAACTGTCGTGCAGATTTCGGTCGATTGCAGGATTTGTACAGTATGTGCTCCGCAAACTCGTTGAAGACATATATTTTCCAAATCTTTTCATGTTTTTAATCAAAGTGCTCACGTGATTTGATGCACTTCGCGATGTAAGACCCGTCTTATCACAATATAGATTTTGATTATCGATCGTTTTGACTGGGCGCCGCCATTTTGTTTGAAGCAAATGCAAGTGATACGAGAGGTGGAATCTGATTGGCCCATAGGAGAGGCTTACAAGGGACATAACTCGTAATAGCCACTGGTGGCGCTAAGTCGAGCCCAGGAATTCCAGCCTAGTTTGGCAAGGGTGGAAACTGGACTTTTAAAGTCAGTTAACTCTCTTGCCTCGGGAAGATGACCGTCAACCAATAATTTGCCTGACCCTGATTCTTTTTTCTTGATCTCAATATAATTTTCTTGATTTACTTGTAAAGATTTAACAAAATATCATCTATTAACTGATGCTGTTCTAAACATTATTAAAGACCAAGAATTTATCTAATGTTAGATAACATTTGTCCAGTTGTCTAAGGCGCTGCGATTCGCTGTGCAGAGTTGCGTCCCTTAGGCACGCCAGAGACCTGTGATTGTGGGTTCGAATCCAGGTTTGCCCCAATTATGTTTCTAGGTTTGTCAGCACCATACCTGTGCTCGTGGGTTTCACCGAAGTGGTAAACGTCTGAGACCTGCATCACTTTGAGCTTTCCTCCAACATTAAGCTGACACGCAGCGATATAACTGTTATACTGTTAAAAGCAGTGTTAAACCCAACTCACTCACTCTAATGTTAACAACATGATCCAATCAGACGCAATAAATACAATGGATGATGTATAAATATCAAGAACTGTCATGTATGAAACATGAATAAAACTGTTGTGGCAGTAAAGATATTTGTTTTTCGACCCATGAAGATACGGGGTAGAATAGTTCTTCAGCAACCCATGCTTGCCGTAAAAGGTGACTATGCTTGTCGTAAGAGGCAACGAACAGGATCAGGTGGTCAGGCTCGCTGACATGGTTGATGCATGTCATCGTATCCCAATTGTGTGGATCGATGCTCATGATGTCAATCACCTGTTGTCTGATCCAGATTGAATTATTTACAGAACGCTGTCATATTGCGGAGTGCGGCGTTAAACAACAACAAAACACGGTAAAAAAACATGTAAGTATATTTGTAGTGATTGTCATTGGCAGCGAATGGTAAAATATCGGCGGCAGGGAGTGGAATATAGAGTTACCTCCCCTTGTTAATAATGGAAGGCTCAGTCCAGCCAGACTGGGCTTAATCGTTTTATAAGTTTCGGGATGGGCTCAGTTTCTATAAGGGCAATTCGAGGGATTTTACGGCCTGACATGCGTCTTATCTAGTTGCCAAGTGTGGAAGGAATGCCTGTCTGAAAACACGGAATTCCTGCCAGCTTTCAACACTATTCTTGATTCTGGATTGCACTGACATGATAGTGTAGTGTCCGTTACTTTTTGCCCTTGGTCTTTCACTGACAGATTCATATATTTTGAACTAATGGTTCTGTCAATCCCGCTGACAATACACCTTCAAAAAGGTGGAACTTTAAAAAGGCCAAATAATCCTTATTCCAAACATAATGTACAACATGCACAGCCGAATGACGTTAAAATCACAAGCGCAAACGCGAGACGTACTTTTAAACAAGATAAACGCCAATCCTTGAGGAACTATGTATCAAAAATCAATTCTCGCACACCCATGTCCAAAGTGTGGAACATGATTCAAAAGATAAGGGGCAAGGGTTAAAAATCTGGAGTTCAGATATATAACCTAGAAACATGGTATTTAAGAGATTTGCATGAATGTGGATTGAGGGGCAGATTACCTCAGTTCATGTCTCGATTTCTAAACAAAAGACAGTTGCAAGTATTAGTGAGCTCTACCCTGTCTGATCATTTCGATCATAATCAGGGCGTCCCTCAATAGCATCCTATCTGTCACACTATTTAACATCAGAACTGATAGTCTCACTAAAGTATTGAACACGGGTGTTGATGGGTCACTTGTGGACGATTTCAATGTTTCTTGTCGTGGTAAGAATATGCATACAATAGAAAGACAGCTACCGGTCTGTCTTAACAAAATCCAAAAATGGACCAACGAAAATAGCTTCAAATTTTCGAAATCCGAAACAAACTGCATTCTCTTTTGCCGTAAATACAAACCGCACAAGGATCCAGATATATTCTAGATGGTACTCCTGTCAAGGTAGTATAGAGGAGGCCAAATTCCCGGGCCTCACCTTTTACCCTCATCTCAAATTCTTATCACACATCAAATATCTAAAGGCAAAGTGTCTGAAGGCTCTCGACGTTTTAAAAATCGTTTTAAATGCCGAGTAGGAAGCGGATCAGACAACCCGCCTTCACATGTACAGGTCATTAATACGCTCTAAACTATAGACTACAGTTCCATTGTCTATGGTGGAGCGAGCAAAAGCAACTTGGAAAATCTAGACACTATACACCACCAAGGCCTAAGCTGATGAACCTTCCCCCGAACAACGCCGCATTAAACTATCACTACAATACATCACTAAATTGCATTCCTAATTTCCAAACAATAAAACCCAGCATACAATTGTGTTTTCAACTCTTCGTATGAAAACCTGTTTCGAAATTTGTCAAACCTGGTTCCATTACTTGGAATCAGAATTCAACCACAAATCACTACAGCTGAAATTAGATCTAATAACTATATCACTTTTCCGACTTTTGTCTTCTCCCTGGCAGATGGTGAAGTCAGAAGTAGACCTAACTCTCACCCAGCTCAAAAAGTCCAAAACATATCCTTTGGTATATCAACAAGAATATAACAAATTACGAACAAAAAATAATTCTCATAGAACCATTTTTACAGACGGGTCCAAGAATTGTGGCAAAATTGCAAGTGCCGCCATCATTTATCCAAACCTGTCTCCTCAAGAATTCCAGATAATAGTTCAATCTTTTCTGCTAAGGCCAAAGCTATCTTAACAGTAGTCCTGCACCATGACCGTGGAATATATTTATTTTATGAAAATAATAACCTAGAAATGCATACAAAAGCAAGTCTAGCCAGCTCAAGCTAGCTCTGAAATCAGCATAGGGAATTTTTTATATATTTTTAGAGTCAAGAAGGATAATGTGTAATATAAGATTTCAGTGACTAAATGTTAGTCTATCTTAACAGCTTTGACCTATATTAAACAACAAAATCAATGTAAGCACTTCATCATCTTCTCAGATTCATTGTCTTGCCTTCAGACACTTAAAAGTGTCTCCCCGAATCGCCCTATAATCCTAGATATTTAGAACTTTGCAATGATCTTTCTACTGGCTAATTTGACATCGTCTTTTGCTGGTTGCCAAGTCATGTTGGCACAGCAGGGAACTCAAAAGCCGATGCTGCAGCGAAAGAAGCTCTTGACAAACCGTTATCTCCACTCCTTATCCCGTACAGAGATTTCAAACCAACCATCAAAAGTTATACACGGGATCTAATTTTGAAAAAGGGGGACACCCAGCTAGGAATCACTAAACTTCACGAATTTAAACCAAAACTCGGTCATACCTACTTGGGTCGTCAGTCAAGACATGATGAGGTCGTTTTACGACGATGTCGTATTCGCCACAGTCGGCTTACCCACGAATATCTGCGTTAAACAAATGAACCTAATTTAAGTGTATCCCTTGTGATGAAAGGTTCACCGTCAAACAGATATTGCTTGACTCTGTGGACTTTGCAATCGCAAAGGATTCACATTATCGCACAGTAAATCTGAATGATACCGTGTAAGCGAGCATCTAATCTTAAGCTGTTTGAAATAAATTGTCCTGTATCATAAATTGTAAATATGTATGTGAATAACTAATTGCTTGTTTGCAAATTTGGTGTGATGATTTTTTCAACAAAGGTTAATGAAGGCTCTGTCCAGGTTAAAATACCGTAAAATGACTGTCCCCAAGTGTGACACGTAATTCCTATCATAATTGATGTAATTATCATCAACCACTGTTTTTTAAACCAACTCATTTCTGAGGGACCACTGTAAGTTCCCATGATGCTCAGCGAGATGGCCTTGCTTTGGTTACTGGTGGCTTATAGACCGTGTTATAAACAGTTGCAGATATTATTATGTCGAAATAGGTTTGACAAATTTGTATTAAATATAACTTTGTATTCATGACTCAACTGTGTCTCATCGCTATATGGCTGAAATAATGCCGATGCGACTTTACATTTAAACTCACTCACTCACTCTAAGAGTCGACTAATATTGATTGCGACGGGGTTGGCTCATTGTGTGCACATGCTATCGTATCCCGATGGCGAGGTTAGTCGCTAATACTCTCATTCAATGGTTTGCCTGGTCCAGAATATATAGACCACCGTTATATAATATAGCTGGAATACAGTGCTGAATGCAGCGTATACCTCTTGTGCTCCACAGTCTCGCATGGGTATTTTAGGCCCGTAAGTGAGTTGGGTTTAACGCCGCTTTTAACATTATTCCAGTTATATCAAGGCTTGTCAGCTTATAGTGGGAGGAAAGCCCGAAGTGATGCAGGTCTTCGGTGAAACCCACGAGCACGGGTATGGTGCTGACAAACCTAGAAACATAATTTGGGCGAACCGAGATTCGAACCCGTAATCATAGGTTTCTGGCGTGCCCAAGGGACTCAACTCTGCACAGCGAATCGCGGCGCCTTAGACGAACAATATAGCTGTTATATTGCTGAGTGTGGCGTTAAACAACAAACCAAACCAAAAAAGGTTTGAAGTCCTTTTGACTGATTTTTTCGAGCCTTTTTTCATGTACTTCTCCAAACATATATTTGTTTATAAATTTCATAATGTATCCCCCTGAAAAATGCTAATATATATATATATATATATATATATATATGTGTGTGTGTGTGTGTGTGTGTGTGTGTGTATTCCGGAGCCTCGGGTGATGGGGTATACTAGAAGTACGGGCCTTAATATTTAAAAGTAAACATACTACAACACTAGAATAACTAATTCGATGAAATATTATAAATACAATTACATATTATCACTGACAAAAGTTGCCAAATTACAAACTACATGTAGACAACATCAAATTTCCAAAAAGCTGTGTCTTTGCTTGGCTTAGGTTTCCACGAAATAATGGGGTCTTGTTTTTCTGTAGAATTGGTTTGTATTTAATTTTCATTTTTATGAACGCTTCCGACAGTTTAACAGATCGCTGACTCCTCTGTTGTTCGTTTCGCTTCGGCTGTCATACGGGGGAATCGGGTTGTGGAGCAAAAACAGTTGTTACACAATATATAAACAAAACACAAATCCCGAGGCATGACCTCAGGTGCCCGACAATTTAGACCAATCAAAATACAGCAGTGTGACCAACTTGCTTTTACTTTTAATGCTGTCCCCCCGTGTACATAGAAATGAATATAAAGAGAAAAGGATGTCAGATTCTTGCGAATATGTCATTTAGCTATTGGATCAACTGTACGATCCACGGGTTCACACTTTCGCAATAGTTTAGCACGTATCAGCTTCTCTGTCCACCAAATTTGTCTTTCACAGTTAAGGTAACGAGGAAATTACGTATTGATCAGATGATTTCAGGTCAAAGGTCAAACCAAAATGGCGGCCAAAACATTGGGACTGACGATATCTGCTACAGTATGCGTGTCAAAGGTACGTTTTTAACGATGTGGCAGGGCATTGTATTAGTTTGTGGTTAGCGTTTGGTTAGGATCTTCTTAATGATGACAATGAGTTGTCGAAACGGGATCGGTTTTCCATTGAAAAGGGCGAATGTGTTAGTCAGTTGCTACCATTTCTTCTTTAATTTTCTCAAAATAAACACCCGAAAGGCTGGACAAAGGCTTTGTTTCCTGTTCTAAATGTATATAAATTTTAACACTATTGTTCGTAACCTAAACATTACAACCAGCACGATATTAAATAAAATGAACGTATGCTGTACAGACACACTATTATTTTACCACGTGAACAAATGGTGACCATGACTTTCGGTTGTGAAATCTTTCATCAACGTTTCAGACATTCTGTCCTGATTATGGTGACGTTTAACATTTGTCCAGGGTTTGTATTACTTGTTTTGATATATTGGACTATGGCACCAGGTTCATCATAGTATGACTGAATTTGAATAAAATCTTGTTAGCTGGACAGTGGTGGTGGAAGTATGATTGACTGATTTTTCAAGCACAAAAATTCGGAATTGTAGCTCTCAGACTAGTGTCCTGTGATATTTGCAGCGTTAGAAATTGGCACTTGTTCTGTAGTCCTTGCGAAAGTGCCCAATAGTTAAGGTATCATAAGGGCCAGTAGAAATTTGCCATTTTTAAGGGTTATGCTATTTGTTATCATTATAAGGACTAGTGGACTAAAAATGTTAGAACTTTTCTACCGCTTTGTCTACTGATTTGTCAATATGTGTGCTGGCAAAATCAAAGGTCACTATTTCAGGGACTCGGAACAGTTTGTAACCATAATATTAACTGAAGTGTCCTGAAGATTTTGTCCTATAAGAACATCAAGGATGTTGGATACAAAATTAATAGAGCCGTGAAGGGTGCTGCTTCAAACATCTCGTAGCTAATTTATACTTAACATGCATAGCAAAACATTGATCAGGAGACAGAAGACAGGACACAGACATAGACAGAGAGTCAAGTCATCTAAGGTCAAGGAATTCAGATGACAGATTACAAGTCTTGATTATGCAGTCACTTGACTGTGGATCTTGAGTCATATTGTTTTGTCTGTCTTTGAGTAAACATATTAATTAGTTCACAGATTAAGTGTCAATGATCAGATTAACACCTACCCTGTATATAATTTGGAACAGGTTTCAACAACATTTTCATTCAAGATATTTATTTTATGCCATATTATCTTTAATCACTGGAAAAACTTATATAAACTGCAAAGAAATATGAAGGGTTTGTGAGTGTGTACGATCTTTAGTTATTGGATGACAGTACTGTACCACTATTTGATTGCAGTTCTTATTACTTCCTGCAAAAGCAGTAACTAAAGTTGGTTTGTTTGTTGTTTAACACCGCACTCAGCAATATTCCAGCTTTATATAACGGTGGTCTATAAAAAATCCAGTCTGGACCAGACAATCCAGTGATTGATATCATGAGTATCGATCCACGCAATTGGGATCGATGACATGCATCAACCAAGTCAGCGAGTCTGACCACCGAACCCGTTAGTCGCCTCTTACGACAAGCATAGTTGCCTTTTACAGCAAGCATTGGTTGTTGAACTTTTGTTTGAAAGGTTTATTTTATAAATTTATGATTGCCTTCTCTATGAGTTCCTGTGTTTTATTTGAAAACCACCTTATGAAGTTCTGTTATCCTTAACCAGCATTATAAATTGGCACTCCGCCTGTAGTCCTTGCGAAAGTGCCCAATAGTTAAGGTATCAGGACTAGTTGAAATTTGTCATTTCTAAGGGTTTTGCTATATGTTAAGAACTAGTGGATTAAAAATGTTAGTTTCTACCACTGCTTTAACATGCTGTGAAATTTCTTATCAAATACATTGGTAATTCGAATTTCAGACCAAATGTTGTCCATAACTAAAGCGTATTATAAAATGCACATGGATTAGTTTCAAACTATCAAGGGGATATATACCGTGATATATTAGACAATACAAACTTTATTTTCATATGTACTTGAGTGTGTGAGGTGTAAACGCTTGGTTTGTGGAATACAATCAAATTTATCATGTTTATAGTAAAGAATAATACTTCTGAGTACAACATGTTTATTTCCCTGAAAATCAATCAATGAGTATGTTCATCTGTGACGTTTCATTTACTTGAATATGTACAGATGCAAGAGGCCTGTTTTGGGCAATATGTTTGGGCTGTTTTCACCAAGCTCTTGGAGTCATTTTGACATTCACCTGTTGTGAGGATCTTAAATGTCTTAATGCAATCTGCTGCTTCATATACTTGTCATATTCTAAGACTAACATCTTATGAAAATGTCTGTGAAGATTTGGTCTTCTGCAACCCATGGTCATCTTCCCGAGGCAAGAAAGATAACTGACTATGAAAGTCCAGTTTGTCAGCAGATATTTTTCAGTCTTTTCATGTTTTTAATCAAGGTGCTCACATGATTTAATGCACTTCGCGATGTAAGACCAGTTTTATCACAATGTAGATCTTGATTATGGATCAGATCATCTTGACTGGGCGCCGACATTTGTTTAAAACAGTTGATACGAGAGGCTTAGATGGGACATAACTCGTAATAACCACTGGTGGCGCTACAATCGAGCCCAGGAATTCCAGCCTAGTTCTGCAAGGGTGGAAACAGGGTTGTCATAAGCATGATAAGAGATGACTAACATGGTCAGGTCGTCTGACTCGCTGACTTGGTTTGATGCATGTGATTGTATCCCAATTGCATTGATCCTTGCAAATTTCAATAAGATAATCATGATAATATGGTTATACCGTTGAATAGGGATCTGCACTTCCTGATTGCATTATAATCAAAATGGGTGCAGGTTTCTTTGTCATGTTTATCATGGTTATAAGGGCCTCAGGCTACACTTAGCAATCAATAGCCTTACCATGCCTACTAGCATGACTATGTTTACTTTGTTTTGTCTATCACAAATGTTCACACCTTGCATCAACCAATGTTAAGTTGATATATGAGGGACATAATTTCTCTGCGTGTGACAGATTAACAGCTTGAAGTACTTTGGGTTGTTTGAACTTTACAAGGTACAATTGCATAATCTCTGTGTAATTATTTGCAGTCATCATAAACAGCAGTAGTAAACTCTCAGTGTGTATTAAATATGCAAGATCAGCTTTGTTTTCTCTGTGCCAATATTTTTTGTATTCTAGTAGAGAAATATTTCATCACAAGAACCATGACTAAACTCTCGTTGTATGATATTACAAGATGGTAACACACTCAGCTATTAATCTTTATGTATTTCTATGGGGTGAACTTTCTAATGAACCGACCAACCAGTCAGCGAATCAGGCTTCTAAATTTTCAGTATGAATGTGTAATGCATTCAAATAAGCATACCGTATTCGATGAAATAAGCGATCCGCTCTAATAAGCGCCCACGGCGATATTTGCTTATATATTGGCTAGTGAACAATCCCAATTAGCACCCCTTCTGATTGATCAATGTACATTTATTTTTTCGTGTATAATACACACTTGTGTGTTATATGCACCCTTAATTATGGGCAATTAAATTCTGGAAAATATATCTGTATAATATGCACAGACCTTTCTTTTGTATCATTTCAGGCTGTCAGCATAAACCACAAAATTTACGATAATTGCACTCTGTTGTTTTTTTCTCACCAAAATTATATTCTAATAAGATCCCCCTATTTCTAATTTTGAGAGCGCCCTGGGCACTTATTACGTCGAATACGGTATCTGATTTTTGTATCTTAATAAGGAATATTATCAAGGAGTTCCAAAAGCATAATGATAAAACTGAACTGTAATCCTGTTGTTTCTGAGTGCCATGGTATTTATGTCCCAAAGGGAGTACCATCCAAGGAATATTGTTATGTGTGTATTTTCATTTGTAGCAATCAAAAATAGACAAAATACCCGATTTTCATTGTGGTAAACAGATGAAGCTGAATCAGAATAGAAACCTGACATCCTGTTGGCCCATGCACCCTTCGTTTAGATTTGATGGCCAGTGTTTGCTCAGGTTTACCTGACGTGACCTCCTATGGAGGTGTTATCAGGCCTGCCATGCAGAGCGGTATATTATCAGAGCAGAACATCTGATTTTAATGAGATTGCCACTAGTCATGAGGCGAACATAGAATTTGGTTTCATTTGCGATCAAAATGAGCATCAAATACCGGTAACATAAATAATTTGAAACCTTTGTGAAGAGATTGGTTTCCAGGTCATGTGTCAGGGAAACAATTTAATTTGAAACTTCTATTTTCTTTTTCCTACCTATGATAATGTGCATGTTAATCACAAAAAAACCATTTATTTGTACAATCTTAAATTACAAGTCTGATCATGCTGACAAGAACCCAAATAAAAATTTAAAAAACATACTTTTTTATTTTGCACCTCCAACATGTCCAACCAGGATTTTACTTGAAAAAAGCTGTAAACCAAAAATAGTATGAGCCTTATCTATCGGGTTGGTGTTGATAGGGGACAATGACACAGTTTCTGCTCTCAGATAAGGCTGAGAGATTTTCCATGAGGGTCATTCCAGTACTATTTACATACAGAAGCCATGTTTAATTGCCTTGTGTGAGTACCCAGGATCTATTTTGCCCCACTTGACCTTGAGTTGAACATTGTTTGCCGATGTCAGTAATATCAAAGCTGTATGGTAGGCTGTAAATTATAGACTGGTGTCTTGGCCAGGTGAAAATAATGGGTGATAGCGGCGTATAAACTTCAGATAAATTCCAGCCAGGCTGGCAAGTCTAATGAAGTGTCGTGATTGCTTTTACACGGGCAACAAAGACAAATTGAAATAACCAGAGATAATAATAATTTATTTTTTGATTGAAATACAGAATAAAAATTGAGCCAATCAGGGATGAGTTTAAAGTTGATAACATTCAAATATCATCAGCTGATCATGCATCGATGATCTCTGTGAAATAATGATTGCCATGTTTCGGCGATATATTAGTATTGAGTCATTATCTAAGTGCAAATCAAGATATGATTATCTTTTCTTTTTTGGGTTAAATTGACAATAAAATCATAGCCAGGCCATTAGGTGAGTGAGTATGGTTTTACGCCACTTTTAGCAATATTCCAGCAAAATCACAGCGGGGGACACCAGAAATGGGCTTCACATATTGTACTCATGTCAGGATTCGAACCCAGGTCTTTGGCGTGACAAGCGAACGCTTTAACCACTAGGTTACCTGACAGTCCCCAGGTCATTTGGTCATGTTTTAATAGTTTTCCATCCAAGACAAACACAGTTAATTTAGTGAATGAGTGACTTTGGTTGAACGCGGCTGTAGTCCATTTATGTCTTGGTGTGTCAGCTTAGTGTGATGCAGGTCTCAGACATTTACCAATTTGGTGATCCCACAAGCACGAGCATGGTGCTGAGTCCTGCTGACAAACCTAGAAATACAATCGGGGCGAACCGGGATTCAAACTAACGATCATAGGTTTCTGGCATGCCCAAGGGATGCAACTCTGCAGAGCAAATTGCATCACCTTGGACGAATGGGCCACACATTGTTATTATTGTTAATTAGATATGTGTATCGCTGTTGTGAGTCTAAGCGACATGTTACACACTTGGGGCAGCACATGAACAGAATCAAATTAAATGTCAGCTGAAACAGCATTTAAGAATTATCAAAAGAAACGTCTACTCATTGGTGTAAAAATTCCCAACAGACTGGACTCAAGGGAGTAAAGATTTTGAATACCCAAAGAAAACTATCAGTACCCAATGTGAATGGATCTTGTGTGTTGATACTTAATGGTCCAAAAGTTACCTGGATCCCTGAACCTGTGAAGATCCGGGCTAGAATAGGTCTTCGGCAACCCATGCTTGCCGTAAAAGGCGACTATTCTTGTCGTAAGAGGCGACTTACGGGATCGGGTGGTCAGGCTCGCTCACTTGGTTGATGCTTGTCATCGTATTCCAATTGCGTGGATTGATGCTCATGATATTAATTGCTGGATTGTCTGTTCCAGACTCGATTATTTACAGACGGCCATCACATCGCTGTAATATTGCTGAGTGCAGCGTTAAACAACAGACTATTGGTTTCATCTTTGTTTGTTTCATTACAGATTGCAGCCTACTACTGTGACAGTGACAGGTAAGATCAAGAATTTATGTTGGATTATTTGTGGGGAGTCGACCGCGTCCTTGGTCTAGTGGTTAGAGTGTCTGCCTAGAGAGCGGAAGTTTGATCCCCAGTGTCTTCATACCAAAAGACATTAAAAGATGGTACTTGTTCATGTTGTTGTTACCCTATTTGGCTCTCAGCATTAAAAGATGAAACAAGGACTGGTCTGCTCGGAGTTACTGTACTGTGTCTGAGTGGGGTATCCATGTTAAACTGCAGTATGGTATCTCAGTCAATCTCATTAAAATCAGATCAAAGTACTCGCTGCCGCTAAACAAAGATCTGAGGACACCCCATTACGGGTCATGTCAGAACGACCTTTCGCGAACTTTGACCGACCACTGAAATGACTAACAAGAAGTCGACATCAGCCAATAAGAAAGCAGCTTTCTCGAGCTTTACAGCACTAGTTTCAACCTGGCATCTTCCATTTGAGACTACGCTTGAAAAATATGTTGACACAGTTCTTGATTAATATTTTGAAAACTGAACAAACAAATATTCTGGAATGTCTAATATTTGGTTGAGATTGTATGGCAGTGTTTCTCACATACTGTGCAACGCTGCCTCCGTTCAAATGTTTATCCCACGGAAGCGAGAGATAGACGACAATTGTGACGGAATCAGGCTGTAACTGTCGTTCGGAATACCCCATGTTAACGTTTTCGAGGTTGCATTTATTAGAAAACACATTCCGACTATCACTTTTATGATCTGGTAAGCGACGCTTTGATTGGTCGGATGAAAGGTCGCTCTGACGTGACCCGTAATGGGATGTCCTCAGATCTTTGTTTAGCGATAGTGGGAACTTAGAGCTGATTTTTATGAGATTGGTATCTCAGTGGACTTGCACTTTCAAACTGGCATTAGTCCAAATGCGCATTGCTATATAAGTGTAATAATCTTGAGAGTGACATAAAACCCCATTGACCTCACCTCACCACCATATTTTGGAATGTTTGAGGGGATTCCAGGTTAGAATACTCTGAATAGGTCCCCATAAGTCTGTAAGAGGCGACCTAATGAATCTGGCTCGGTGGCTTGGTTAATGTGTCATTGTAAGCAGAGGGGGTGGGACTTTGATCATTAACATCAAATGTTTTACTCCAGTTGATACCTGTTTGTGTGAAGGGCTAAGGACACCAGGATCATGTCTAAAGAAGGCTCTCTGGTGAACCCTGGGTCACCTTTCACATCCCAATCTTTATGAAGGATGAATGGGTCCTTAGTCAAACAGATGCTAGCTTGAAAAAAACAATTTGGATTCACTTTAAGAAGAGAAAACAACCAGGATACAAATATTCCTTCTCCCTTTTGGGTGTAGATGCCACTGAACTCAGGAACAAGCAGGTGTATAATATAGGCACCAATATGATGGCACGGCCATCAATTTGTACATTCAGGAAAGGATGTTGAATTTCATCAAATCAGATATGCTGGCCTGAATGATTGGCTCATCATACTGAGAATTTTTGAAGCCTCAAAGTTGATTGGCCGATTATGAAGTTCACCTGACATGACCTTCTATGGAGGTGTTCTCAGATCCTCGATCACTTGTATCAGAATAAGAGATCCTATTTTTAAGCAATTGTTACTTATGTTAATTGGATACTGTTAACATCAGTGTCCGACATAACTGCCTGCTCGCCTGCCCGCCTGCCCGCCTGCCCGCCTGCCCGTGGCTGGTAACTTTTCTGTCTGGTTGCATGACATTTTCCTCCTCCTGCCCGACTCTGGCAGATAATTTTAAGACTACTTATAATTCAGTTTAATTATGACTCCTTGTAGATTCTCAAGTGATTGCATTATTTTAACTGAATTAAGATGAAATTTTTGTTGTTTTGATTTTTCATTATTAATAATGTCTGAATATGTTGAATGCGAGCAGGTAACTTTTAAGATGGACCGGCAACCCTTATGTCACCTGTCACCTGTCTCGTTGGGTTTTACAATTATTTGAAACACTGGTTTCCATGTATACTTTGTTGAACTACAGATGCAGTGAGGATGAGTACTGCTGCGGAGACAACCTGTGTTGCACATCTTACAAGGTGTGGGGACTCTGGTATTTCTGGTACGTGACGATCTCCTTCAACGTTCACAAATATATTTATGTTGTCATTGATCCACCAACCTCAGAATCAGCCATGTAGAGGTAAAAAAAGAAGTAGTGCATGATTCTCGTCCGACGTACAAAGCCACAAACATCCTGGTGACACTTACACAAAAGTGACTAAAAAGATGAAAATAGATAATTGAAGGTTGTTCTTTAATGTATCCTACTAACCCTATTAACACACATGCACGCACACATGTTTTATACCTTGTGATGATGTCATTATTGAAACCAACCCGTGAAGATCTTGCTAGAGAATAGCACCCTTGCTTACCGTAAGAGGCGACTATGCTAGTCGTAAAAGGTGACTAATAGCATCAGGCGGTCAGGCTCACTGTTTGGTTGATGCATGTCATCGTATCCCAATTGCGTGGATTGATGCTCATGATGTCAATCACTGGTTTGTCTGGTCCAGACTCTATTATTTACAGACCCCTGTCATATAGCTAGAATATTGTTGAGTGCGGTGTTAAACAAACAAACAAGCAAATTTTATTGAAGCCTCTGATCAATGCACTTTGGCACAAGTAAACAGAAAAGCACAAGTGAAGACATTTACAGAATAGTATACTTCTCTAAATAAAGCTTGGGATTTAGAAATAGACAATCCATGACACGGAAGGGCGCAAATGTAGAGCACACTTTAAAAAACAAACTTTTCGATGCCTGAACACTTTTGTCTCAGTTAATGTTTTAATTCTGCATCGGTTTATTATTTACAAAAATTAGCATTATCCAGGCCTGATAATTACAAAATTCTGAATCTGATTTGATAGTTCTATCAGAATTGACCGTAACCAGTTAACTGGCTGAGAGCCAAACGTCATGTCAGCCAGGCCACATTGACGATTTCATGTGAAGATGGTGTAAATTAAGTATTACGTTTCATATATCTCAACTCAAGTATCATGAGGTGACAAAAACGAACAACTTCATGGATAACAACTTGATGTTTATTGCATACAGCGACAGTTCAATGTAGATTCTTACACCATTATCAAGCTGGAGTGTAACGGTGTAAGAATCTACATCGAAATGCAGCAAACCAGAAGTTGTTAACAGGAAGTTGTACGTATTTCTTATTTATTTTGCCAACTTCTAGAATGTCAATCAAACAGTGATCATGGGGTGGGCATATTTTGGCATCCCTACTGTATGTTAGTGATCCAAAGCTATTTATTTCCCAGTTTAAAGAAAGAGTGTACAACTTTTCTTTGCAAGAATGGCATGCCTCCTTAGACTCAAATGTATTAACCTTTTATAAGACCCAGAAATCATTGTTAGATTGTGAAAAATATTTTTATCTCTCCAAATGTCCTGGGAGTACAAATGTCTATTAACAAAGTTTAGAATTGGCTGTAATTCTTTCGATGTGCAGCATCTACGTAGGGGTTTATCAAAATTGACCGATGATAATGTTCTGTGTGACCATTGCAACCCAATTGAAGATGAAATTCATGTTTTATATGTCTGTAAACATTATGAAGACAAGCGTAAACTGTTATTACCTAAATTGTCAACTAAGCAGTATTATTCACTTAAAAGCCTAAGTACTTCGTCAGATATTAACCAAGTTCTTGACACATCTTTTTAGAACGGTTCTGCTTAATAAGTAATTTTTTTAATTTGAGTCTGTATATATTCATGTGGTTACTCAAATTGTGATGCAAAAAGTTTTGTACTTTAGGTCACGTGGCCTTTAATGCAAATAAACCTGTCTGTCTGTTTCTGTCTGTATGGCCTGGTATAATCGGGTTTGCCATTGTTTTTCATCAGATCCTTATCAAATAGAGTATTGGGTTCCCCACATAGAAATAATGACACCGCTGGCTGTTTTTCCTGGTTGTCATATCGAGCATGTTTTGGTCACATTGTGTTAGGCCAATGAGAAGTACTGAGGTGACAAGATATTGATGAAACTACCCTCATTGAAAGACAACCAGTGGCGATAATTCATCTGTTGGATATTTTTGAATGAAAGTCTCTGCCAAGTGTTGTTTCACTTTCACGACACGACCTAATACAGTGAATTCTCGCTACGTAGAAACCTTATAAGTGGACAAACCTCTGTAGATACTTTCCTTTGGTCCTGACACAGTCGCTATACTGTTTTATATCTGATAACTAGAACCCTTTAAGTAGAAAAAAGGGGGCGGTCGGGTAGCCTAGTGGTTAAAGCGTTCGCTCGTCACGCCGAAGACCCGGGTTTCGATTCCCGACATGGGTACAATGTGTGAAGCCCATTGCTGGTGTCCCCCGCCGTGATATTGCTGGAATATTGCTAAAAGCGGCGTAAAACCACACTCACTCACTCACATTAAGTAGAAAAACCTATATAGATACATTTCCTTGGTCCTCAGAGACATGTCATATAGTCAATTTTACACGATAAGTGGAATAAGAGGGGTAAAAGTGGTTGTAACCGACAGACATTTGCGCGTCTTGTCCCCACTAATTTCGATGTTGATCCCTAATCCACAATGAGTTGACATTGAGTTCATCTTGCTAATGAGCTGTTGTTAGCACACAGTCAGTTGCTTAACTTGAAGACCTGTTAAGTCACGTTTTATTCCAGGTCATTTCATTTTCTGCTTGGCAGTTTCACTGTATATTTATTACTTTAAGTCTAACTGATTGAATGTATTCTGTAGGGATTAGATAATGTTTACTAGACAAAAGGTATACAGCATTTCTACCAGACTGAGGGACCCGTGAAGATTCCGGGGTAGAATAGGTCTTAAGCAACCCGTGCTTGCCGTAAAAGGCGACTATGCTTGTCATAAAAGGCGACTAACGGGATCGGGAGGTCAGGCTCGCTGACTTGGTTGATACATGTCATTGTATCCCAATTGCATTGATCGATGCTCATGGATTGTCTGGTCCAGACTCGATTATTTACAGACTGCCGTTATATAGCTGGAATATTGCTGAGTGCGGCGTTAAACAACAAACCAACCAACCAACCAGACTGAGGGACTGACAGCCCTTGAATTTCCCAATCAAGTCATATTTTACCATGAATATACCAGAAACACGGAAATAGAAAAACAGGGTATGCTGGTGTTAGTTGCCCCAAATCAGTGAAAATGATACGAAAAATATTGTGATCCGTTCTCTTTTGTCTTTGTCCACCGATACCACAAATGATTGGCGCCATTGTCATAGTGATGTACATGGTGTTTGTGTTTACAGGTTTGGTCTGGTGTTCTTCTTGATCCTCCTCTCCATGTGCACATGTCTATGGCGCTTCCGGCATCCCGGCACCGTCATCATCAACAAATACAACTACAGCCCTCTCAGGCAAGATGGCAACACCCTTCACTGCGTGAGTTTTCATGTTTGACTGTCCTCTCTGTTAAAAAAATTGAATTTATTGACAATTACACAATGTGTTTAGAGTGGCTGTTTATGATTGCAATCCAATTGTAGTACAGTTGAGGGCAAAGGGCCTAATTGTCCAGAATTACTTTACAGAGTTGCATCCCTTTGTGATGCTGGGATCTGCTGATCATGTGTTTGAATGCTTGATCCACCAAGTAACATTGCTTTTGGTTTACACCAACATGACCAGCGTGCATCCACGATTATCCAGTGTATTTAAGATCCATTCTATTTAAGAAATAAACGACTTCTTATATGAGATATCAGTATTATGTACAGCCTCTTTACGGATGATGATGATGATGATGATGATGATGATGATGAAATGTACAAGCTTTAAAAAAAATGTATCCATATTAAATAATGATGACTCCCTCAATAGAATCCAACCTCTGCAATGTCGGACAGGTCCCTTTTTTTTGCACAGTTGGGTATTTTCCGCGTATTCTCACAAACTTCACGTCGATTACCTGTACCATTTCTCTCAGTACTAATTGTCATATCTCTCCCGCTTTTGGATGCGATCATTCGGCCATCTCGTTTATCTGTGTTGCCAAGCTACATTTATTGGGAACAACTCTAGACACTCCCCTCTAAAAAATAACGTCGTCCGATCGTTGCGATCGCATGTTTGAATCTCCAAAAATGAAGTCATGAAAGTACAATGTTTTATCGTGAAATAAACCACACTTTGTTCTTTGCGATTTGTCACGCAGCTATCTTATATTGTACTTAATAAATGTTTTGACACATTCGCCAACATAGTTTCGTTTTGTGTCAATTCGACACCAAAAATTGTCAAATCAATGCATGAGAGAAATTCTGTGGGAAGTTTCCCACATACTGCTATGTATTTATCAAGAATAAATGAATATAGCCTTTATAGAATGTAATAATAGCTGGGTAATCGAGGGTGATAAGTGTGGCAAACGTATATGTCCCGTGTCACTTTGGCACCTCCCTTGGGCACACCAGAAACCTATGATTGTGGGTTCGAATCCTGGTTCGCCCCTATTATGTTTCTAGGTTTGTCAACACCATGCCTGTGCTCGTTGGTTTCACCGAAGTGGTAAACGTCTGAGACCTGCATCACTTCAGGCTTTCCTCCCACATTAAGCTTACACGCCCTGATATGACTGGAATACTGTTAAAAGGGGAGTTAAACCCAACTCACTCACTTCATGGCTACTGAACCTACTTTGTTAAGATGGTTACTAGAATGTGGAAAAGGAAATAAATCATTAGGTTCATATGTGCTCAATATTTGGAAATAACAGCACAGACGATTCTACTGGTACAGCAAGACCACAAGAAATTTTCATTTAATCAAACATTCATTGATGCTTTAATTTTTCAGCGCAACAATTCTGACCAAGAGTATATAGGTCCGGGTGGTACGTTCTTCGCATCAGCAACACACCCGCCTCCCCCATACTCCAACTACTCCCCCGTCAAATCTGCCCCACCCTCTTCCCTGGATCCCCCGTCGTATGTAGAGGTGGTTAGCGGACCTGGCGTACCTGGACACAAGACATACCGCAACAACTGAAGATGGGACCACAATGCACCTGGGGATGTTGTCATGGTTATGTTACAACCATTGGATACTCTATGTATGATCTGTTAATGTCAAGACGAACATTCATGAAGTGTCTCCTCGCTACTGAACATAACAAGAACATACTTAAACATAATGCACTGATGCTAAAGTGCATGACGATCTGTTAAACGTTATCTAATGTTTTTTACAAATCGGAATCTACGCAAAATGAATATTCCTTACATCGAGATATTTAAATGTCCACAGTAGCTATATAATGTTGCATAGATTGATGACAAATGGCATAAAAGCTCAGAAGTTTTTGTTCATCACTGAACTTTTTTCAGTGTATATGAGCGAAGAGAGAATGAAGATATGTGTCACTGATCATTATGAAAGTGTTTCATGTGTGTGAGATGAAACTACTGGCTTTAGTTTGTTTCATACTTCAGAGTTTTTGGCTGATGAAAAAATGCCCTACTTTAGGATTACTGTTTCATTGCTCACCATCTGTGTACAGTTGATGGGACATAAAGCTCCCCTGAATTTTATTTGGTATGATTCAGAAACAAAGTATATCAGTGTCTGCTAACTCCCCATGCAGTAGATATTGCTTGTATTAGGCCAAAATACATTTACTGTATTTATTTCATTTGCAAAAAAAAATCAAAATAGCCGAGAATCAGTAATGCGCTCTCAGACCGGTGACACTTTTACATAGGGCATGCAAAGTTATTTCATATACACTTCATTGACTTTGACCAAGTACGCAAAAAAACGTTTTTGATGTCTCCTTTTTCAAAAGGGTACCCTGACTATACCACAGTGCTCATTTCGAATATTGCATACCCATACTCGTCGGTTTCACCGAAGTGATAAATGACTGAGACCTGCATCACTTCGGGCTTTCCTCCCACATTAAGCTGTCACGCCGTGATATAACTGGAATACTGTTAAAAGCGGTGTTAAACCCAACTCACTCACTCACTCATTTCAAATATTGGTCAGGAAGTTGTAATTAGTGCCATGTGAAACTGAGTCATCGTCTCTGTGTAATTCAAGAATTAGGCCAGGCGTTTTATATTTTTCAGATTACGGACCCACAGACTCTAATTTTTTAGATTTCCATTTTGTTTTTCCAGCCGATAGCCGAGTAGTCAGTTATTTTATTTGTTAGCATCACCTTTTAGTAAAAAACAAATGAATTTACCGGTGTAAACTAGTAAAGAGATACATAATTTATCTTTGTTGATCTCGAAGCCGAACATGAATAGTCTCCCTTGACAATTGTCTGTGTTGTAAGTGGTAGAATTTTTATTGTTACAAGGGGCTTTATCATCACAAATGGTGGTCTTTTAAAAGAAAATGCACCTCGCTCCTCCAACCCTGGACATTGGGGCTGCAAAATCCGTAATCCTAAAAATAAGAAAAGCCTGGCCTCAATTATTAGCTGCTTGATTGAAATAAAATTTGAGTTTACAGAGTTAAGTTTTAACAGCATGCAGGGACTCTATTTTCCTGGGCATGATTTTCCTTAAGGATTACAAGATGGGGTGGGGAGGGTTATCCTCTTGGGTAAGGAAACTTTACTACGCAAATAGCAATTAGGTGGCCTGACCCATACCCACAGTAAACTGTAAGTATCCTAACTTCATGTTTCAAGATAGAATTCTGAAATTCAGGATAATTCCAATTGAGTAAACTTTAGCATGTGATTTAGCAAAATCATTATTAATTATATAAGGGGTTTCAAGGAGTGTCAGATAGTAGTTGTATGGGTACCCGGTGGTGAATATATGAATCTGACCCAGTCCTAGACAAGCTAGGCGTCAATAGGGCATATGTAGCAAAGTAGTTTACGTCATGAAAAGTGAGAATAATGTTTTCTTATAGTTGTGGGTTGCTGCAGATAATATGCTGGGGGAACAAATTTCTTTAGAGAGTGGGGGAGGCACGGGTGGCACAGTCTAAGGCGCAGCGATTGATTGTGCAGAGTTGTGTCCCTTGGGCATGCCAGAAACCTATAATTGTGGGTTCGAATCCTGGTTGTTTCTAGGTTTGTCAGAACCATACCCATGCTCGAGGGTTTCACCAAAGTGGTAAACGTCTGAGACCTGCATCGCTTCGGGTTTTCCTCCCACATTAAGCTGACATGCCATGATATAACTGGAATACTGTTAAAAGCGGCCTTAAACCCAACTCAATCATTCACTCACTTTAGAGAGTGATCAAGATGTTTGGTTTTGTCGAGTAAAGATATGGTTTTAATACAATTTTATTAATTATGCATAGATGAATTTCATGATTGTCTTGCCCTTCTCACAAGAAGATCTCAGCACAACGTAGTTATAACTCGGATACTGTTACAGCCTTACAAAAGTTGTATTCACCATGGAACGGTTCCCTGAATTATGACAGAAGAGTTATCTTTCCTTTGCTGCATAATGCCACCTTGGGTTTTGCCTAGCAAGAAAGAAAGAATAAAACAGTACCTAGTCATTTTCAAAATAAGGTTATGATGAGAAACATTATTTATTTGGTGATGTCTAAAACTGTTGTTGGACCTGCAGGGGTAGTGTGTTTTAGGTATTGGAAATGGTATAGCTTCTTGGGCATCAAACTCTCAAGTACACACAGTGCTATGTGAATAGATACAGCCGAATTTTGCCATAGTCATGTGACCACTATTTACTGTGACAAACCTGTTCCTGTGTCAATATGGTGGGAATTGGTCCTCATTGCTTTTGAAATCCTTGTCTCAAACTTAATTTGCGTCCAGCATCTGTTTTAATCTCTGTTTTGTGTTTTGTGAAGCTCTCAGCACTTGATATTTAATGGGAATCATATGTTGTGATAATCATTTGACCCCCGCAAGACTTGAAACGAAAAAAACTGGTTAACAGATTCTGCTGCTGAAATGAAAAAAGGGTAATCTGAAAAGCAATATATTTTTATACAAACTAATAAACAACACAAACAATTGTGCAAACTGCAAGACTAGGGTCCCATTCCACAAGGCAATCTTAGCTCTGTGATTAACATAAGCCTATGTTAAACTGTGAGTCACAATCATCTTAGCGCTAAGATCGTTTCGAGGAATGGAGCCAGGCATGTTAACCTCTACTAACACTGCCCATGTATGGCAACACACATTCAGAATTTTCATATTATTTTTTTTTATCTTGAAACCTTGAAATGAAAAAAGCCTGGGCTCAAGGTCAAGACTGAACTAGGTCACAAATGGATGTGGTTTTGTATCAGGAATTTTGAAGATTCATTGCTTTCATATATCTTACTTCGCTTTATTGTTAAGTATGTTGAAGGGTTTTTTTAATTTACTTTTTTCTTATACTGAATCATGATTGTTGTAAATATACTACTCAAAAGAAGTTAAGGATCATCCGATTCTTTCATATTACTATAATCTGACATAGAATGATGGATTAACTATTGTAATATAAAAGAAGCGGGTGATCCTTAACTTCTTTTGAGTAGTATATAAATACTCTCAAAAACTTCCATTGGAGAATACTTAGTTCATTTCCTGCATTAAGCAATACTGACAGGTAGAATTCACTGTTTTCTATTTGATTTTTCTTGTACCAGAATCATCTTCCCCCCCCCCCCCCCCCCTCCATTAATATGATACAAATAAGCCAGTGCTGCCCTGATGCCTAGACAGATCACTAAAGATCAATCAAGGTTGTGATAGTTATTAGACTTTAGTAATAGTGGTGATAATTTAGAAATCACTTAACAGTAATCTAATAGTGTTGTATGACTATTAAGATGCTTAGTTTTAGACAAAATCTCACTAAATGTCCCAGTTGGTTCTCTTATATCTATACAACTACTTCAATTTCAGTAATACACATTCTCTGTTACAGTGTATTTATTGTTTATATTACATACGTTATTACTTTTACAAAATTGTTACATTATCACACAGTTATGATGCAATTAACTAGTTCAATTATTTACCTACTTAACTCAACCCCCGATATTCTATACCCAAAAACAAAAGTCAAGCATAGCCCTGAAGTATTGTGCGAGATAATATGCAAGATTAATGACAGCGAACCAGCTGTGCAGACTTTGGAGGAACTGGTACAGGTGTTAACTAGTGAACCTGCTCACCTTGGTCCAATCGCATTAAAATCAAATCTTAGTTCTCGCTATCGCTAAACAAAGATCTGAGAACATCCCAGTAGGGTTCACGTCAGAGCGACCTTTCAGCCGACCAATCAGAGCGTCGCTTACGAGATCATGAAAGTGACAGTCGGAATGTGATTTCTAATCATGCATCCGTCGAAAACTTTAACACGGGGTATTCCGAACGATAGTTACGGGTTTAACGACTGAATCCATACAATCTGGACCATCTATTAGCGATTCCAGAATGTTCGTTTGTTCAGGTTTCAAATTTTTAATCGAGAATTTGTCAAAATATGTTTCGTAGCGTAGTCGCCAATTTGAAAGTGCTTAACTTTTGTTGATAAGTATAATACCGATTTTTCACATGCACAGACGGATAATGCAATATGTATCAGGGATGGATAAGATGGAATGTTGACTAACAGAGAAAAAAGAAATTTTGTCATAACAGAAGAATTCAGATTTGAGAAAATACAAAATCAAAATGTCCAACTAAACCTTCATGCTGGAATTGGTTTGATATTCCTCAAGATGGATATGATATGTATTTTTCTGTTCAGGTTTTAGTGAACAAATCCAAGAGGGACCATTAGGTGGATTACTTTGTATTCTGTATGAGATAGTTTGTACATGTTTCTTCAGTTATTGAGAGAGTATTATGGAGTAGAAAAGTCCCATTATGTTATTTAAAACAATCGATATATGACAATTCAAAATGTTTAACTTACCAATTTGTTCTTTTCAATCTAGTTTAGTTCGTATTCATGTTATAATATTGCATGTTATAGTGTATAAACTAGAAAATGGATTAAGATTGTTTGATCATTTTCTTACAAAAAAGGGAAAAAGTATAATATTTTTGAGAAATTGTGAAAAAAGAGTTGTAATCTTTGTATATACTGATATCATTTTCGGGTGTATTTATGTTTTGTCTCTGTTTTTTAAGATGTTTATGATTGTCTTTCAATGAAAAGAATGTATACATCTCAACATTTGCTAAAGACCACACAAGATGACTTGTTTGGTCCTTAACAAAGTGAGCTGTAAGAGTTTCATCACCAACAACTTGTATATTACCATCTTATAATTTTCCTCCCACTTGTTTCTTACGACAGATACAAGTGTCATGGATGCTTATCCATCAAGTGTATCTTTACGAAATGTCACAGCATTTGCTGAAATTGCCATCCCTATTGTCATGGTTTCTGATAGCCCCTGTTACTGACTGTGTTAGTTATTGTTGGGATGGGGTTCTGTTTGCTTCTTTCACCCAAAAAATTCATTTGTTGGAGCAAAATTATTTAAAAAGGTACCAAATAATTGTTGTGTCTTGGATGTAAAAAAACCTGTGTCTGCTCATATCAGGTTAAAAAAGGATTTTTAGATAAAAACTATCCAAGGTATAATAGGTCTTCAGCAACCCATGCTTGCTTTGCTGTAAAAGGCGACTATGCTTGTCGTAAGAGGCGACTAACGGGATCGGGTGGTCAGGCTCGCTGACTTGGTTGATGCATGTCATCGATCCCAATTGCGGATCGATGCTCATGATATTAATCACTGGATTTTCTGGTCCAGACTCGATTATTTACAGACCACCGTCATATAGCTGGAATATTACCGTGCGGCATTAAACAACAAACCAAACCAAACGATATGAACTGTTAAATTATTCCTTTGGAATTCCTTGAGTTTTTACATACACATAACTTTGTGAAGCATAATTTGTAACAGTTTGCATTGTGTAACTATCACCTTGTCATAGTTGATATTATAATCAGACATCACGGTAATCAACAAGATCTTTTCTAAACAATCTCTTTATATGTGACGTCTGCTGTGTGAACTGAAAATTTGATTGTATTGATGCAAATATGACATTTTAAAGTGTGTCATGATACAATGTCATCAAGATCTGTACATGTATACTGATACGACGTTACTTACCGATATGATCCACATCTAATATCTAGGAAGAATTTAAGAAAGTAGGGGGTCTAAATTGTAGAAAGTGGGGGTTCAATATGATGGCTTTGCAAGTTACGTTGTACCCCATTGTATGTTGTATCCCACGTCTTGTTGCCATGGTGTTTTTGTTTAAATGTAGCTGCATTGGTGGAAACACCTTTCTTTCACTCATAAGTGTAACTGTTGAGTAAATGATTTCTTACATTTCCTTTCTTGAATTAAAATCAAAAGTTAGGGCTCCAAAGTTAGAGAATGTGAAA